GGACTGGTATATTCGATGTACCCTGTCGGTCGAGGGACGATTCTTTCGAATGAAACACGGGGAACCTTGACGGGACACGAAAGTATATACGCAAAACTTTCTTGGATCCTTTTCAATGATCAGGACTGATCACGACAGCTTTGCGAAACACTGTGGTCAATGCGCAAGCGGCGACCTCTTTCACCGGGTGACTATGCATTTGGACGACGAATTGCACCGCGGAGTGAACGGTAGCGCGGTTCGTTGTGAAACGTGCGCAACCATTACGTCACTTAAGGACAATAATATTGTCATTCGGTGTTGTGTAAATCGCTGCTAGAATGGAATCTTCGGATGATGGAAGAAAATACACCTTTAATTGCTGGTTACGTAACGATTACGATCACGTATACATCAAATGAATGGTATGCTCCATTTTGAAGTCTTATCGCGATTAACCGTTAAAAGTCCCTATACACTTGGAAAGGAGGTTATGTTGGACTCGGCGATCACGGGAACCTCTTTCTTCTCAGGTATGTCTCTCCCGTACCAGTATCGTTGAATCGTATATTTATATTTAATTGGAGCAAAAAGTTGAATTCCTTGTGCTCCTGGAGTTGTTTGAACGTCCGTTGATTGTTGGCGGCCCGACAACGCGTCATAACGGCCGATTATAATTTCAAATTGTAGATTTCAATTTCCGATTAACGTAACAGAAAAAGCTGACCGTGGACGCAGAGATTCGATTAACATATTCGTCGTAGTGTTTCCTCATCTCGCCTAACGTCTCATTTTCTTCGTTTGTTTTTATTATGTACGAACAAAAACGAGCACATCCCGATGTGATCATTTGATCAATCCGCAAGATAACGCGATGACTCTATTGCTTCTAAAACACGGAGAATAACGAGAACACTTATTATTGATCGTTAAAGAAAAAGAATCGGTATGAATAGATTTGATGGAAAAATTCGCGGTTACGTTCTTGCAGGCAGGTTCATCCGCGTTGGGCCAAATGGAAACGTACTCTGCAGAACAGAACCTCGAGGAAAAACCAAATTTTCCTGGTCGACATTACTCGTGATTTTCATGAATCACGTAACGAAGATCACGGGGCGTGTGTAACAGTTTTGTCAATAATGGAATCGTTTGAAATATATTTATATAGGCCGAACGGAATAGCAAAGCATTATGGTTTTACGTGGACACGCAAGAAAGGTATTGCAATTGTTAATGGGTCTTAATAACCAGTGCGATTCGATTGTTGCACTATACATAGAAACTTTTAAATCCGAAAGAATTACATCAAGGGGACCGGCTCAAAACGTTAACCGTTGAGACAGTTCGGGCAATCGGATCGAGGAATCGCCAAATCGATATTTATAGAAGTACTCGAAATTCCTATGTAAATTTTCTGTTCGCCATCGCGTGAAAACATCGGCGGAGCAGACGAATTACACGCATTCTCATAACGACGTCATCTAATTGTTTCTTAGTCATCAAGGAGAATTACATAACCTTCCGAGTCGATCCCTAAAAACCAACGACGGGGACCAGAAGAACCCCAATGCACAGATACGAAGAAACAATTTACCGGAGGAGTATTCACGGAGAAGATTACCAAACGAGGTTCCCGACGTACTGGTCCGAAATTCGAACAAAGGGACACGATCGCACACACACACATGTGTCGCCGATTTGTTCAGATCCACTACTCGCCGAAATGAAATACTACTACCCCTCTACTTACGTTCTATGACCGACATTGTTGAGGCTCCAGGGTCCCTGCGATCCTTCGATTCGTCCCTGGGACAGATCAAGGCACCGGTGGCGCGACAAATTCTCCCGAGATCAGCACCAGTCTCGTTACGCGTCGCCGCAAAGGCGTCGAGAGACGAAAACACCACGCGGAAAACGGAAAATTCTGGGGATTGACGGTCGTCTGTATACCTCGTTGTGTGTTTAACAGCAGCGCGAGAGAGAAAGAAGGAGAACCGAAAAGGGGGGCGCGACGATCGATCGATGACGAGAGGTGAGGAGAAAGAGTTGGCTCTCACCCGAGCGGCCGCCGCGCGACGTTTCGTCCGATCGACAAAACAGACGAAAATGCGACGGCCACGGGCCCCGGGGCCCGTTCTTATACGGCGCGACGAGTTCACCTTCAGGGTCGAAAAGTCGAACCTTTCGGACGGTTTTTCCATGAACAGCCACGCACACGTATATGCCGGCGGGCAATAACGTATGACGCGCGCGCACGGACGGTTCTGTTTGCCAGCTCGTGGATCTACCGACCGAAACACCGCTCGCACGCGCACGGACTCGTCGATCCTTGGTAGGAATGCGGTGCATACACAACATTCACTTTTACTGACGGAGTTTCTACTGAAAACTGTATGGTAACCCACGTCCGCAGTCGGTCAAATATACCTGTTTTTGTTAACGATTTGTAATCTAATTTATAAATCTGAAGCCTATGGTACGAATTAGTTTGTTCTAAGTCGTTCAGTTTTTAATATAACAGTGCGAAAATGATAGTAAGTCTATATGCTGTTCTTAACCAAACAGTGTAAAAAAGTCTGTGGTATAGAGGATTTAATGTTCAGGATTTCTATGTGTCGGGACTTGTCTCGAGTCTATTTTGTAGTTCGAAGGTAGCGTTTGGTGTTCGTTGAATTCCTACCGCATTGCAATTACATTGTAATTGTGATTTGGATTTTGTAATTAGATTACATTTTGCCGAGCTGTCTGCTCTAGAATCGTGTATATGTATGTATGATGTCTGTCCGTTGGATCTTTTTCTACTTAGAGTAAAACAAGATGGCGTCCGGTTCGACCGTGGACGGCATGGACCCATCCCTCCATAGAATCTTCAAGATGCTTTTCAGGGAGTGCAAATACTATTCTTGTAATTTGGCTTGTTTAACGAACGTTTTAGGGACAGAATTTCCGCCGGCACTGTTTCTTTCTTTTTTTCCGAGGTGGCTGTTTAGTCTGATGGATCCGAGTGTGCACGGAGTAGGCCTCGTCGGGGAAAAGTCGTTTCGCTTGACGCTGCCCGGAATTGGGTATGGCTCGTTGATGGAAGGAAAGAGATTAGAGGCGATCGAGTGGAGGGGGAGGATCTAAGCGTGATATGTTTTGGATCCACGATAGAGGAGCGGATAGGTCGAATATGTATGGTATGCTTCGTGAAATTGATGCGAATTGGGATTTGCTTCGAAGAATTCTTGGAATATCATAATGACGTAGATCTCGTCGTCTTCTTGTTTCATTTCGTATCGTTCGCGCAAAATTTCCAGAGTCAATTAAACGGTGTTCGCGTACGTTTTAGATCGTCGATCCAACCGCCTACGGGACGTTTTAATTAGTCGTACACGCGAAAATGGATCGCGGACGCTGTGGTTCTCCCAGCCCCGAAAATCGATGAGGGTTTCCCGAACTTTTAATTAGCGGACGTTGTTTTTCGCGCTCGACGAGCCGAGAAATTGCAATTGCTGACTCGTGGTCGGTACGATCGATCGTGAGAGCACGGCATTGGCCGGCTGATTGGCGCTGGTGCGCGTAGAGCAAACTGTCCGCGGCGATGACTTGCAATTATGTACATAATTAGAAGAATTAACAGATCGCTCGAACCAGCCACAGCTGTAATGAAGCGACGATTCCGTGAAAATTCCGCTTCGTCGGGCACGTTCGGTGTTCTTCGATGGAATTTTAGTGCCGTTCGCAAGAAAATATTCCAATTAATAATCCAATTAATAGTCTTTTGGTTTTCTGTAAATAGACAACAAATCTACGTATAAGAAGTCCACGAATTAATATGTACATTAATATAACCGGAGGACGATACGATTTTGTCTGAATTCAATGTTAGAATCGGTCAGGAAATGTGTCCTCGGTAAGAGAAATGGAAAGTTAAAAATGCTTTTTCTTCCTTGAATCTTTTTAGAGAGGCAAAAATAGTTAAACAACTCGCAAGAAGCGTGTAACTGGCTGGATTATTATTTTTGCAGTCGGAAACGAGGCGCTACGTTTATAGAACCAGTTTTCGAAGCTCCGGTAGAGGATCAAGGTTTCTCTAGTTGTTACGCGTGTTCAGAGAGAGAATGTCGCTTCGATGTAACGATTAAGAAATGTGATAAAAGGGAAAACAGGAGGTGTTTGGAAATACAGTCGGTGTCGCGATGAAGAAACCGACAGGACACGCGCTCGAGGGGATAATTCCACCGTGGACGTGTAATCAGAGATACTTCACCACCACATCGTGGATACTTTCTATTGTCCGTCGAATGTCGACGCACCGAGCACGTTGTGTAATCGATTGTCTTCCGACCGAGAGTGTTCATCGACACCAATCATATTCATAATTACGTCTGACTTCTTTCCGTTTCACCTCAAGTATTTGAACAACAAAAAAATGCATTATATCCATATACGTTACGTCAAGTTCGCGTAAGTGAAAACAATCTGAATACAGAACTAAATGGAGTCTCAACGTTACGTCATCTGTCTGTCGCGTCTTTACGTAATAATTATTAAACGTTACAAAGTAATTTTGCAACAATGTCGATCATCTCGATCGACGATTTCGCTCGTAAACCGGGCCGTTTCTCGAACGGATCACCAATGAAACGGCAACAGATCCATCGTCGCCATGTCTACCAATTCGGCACGCATGTACACCAACTGGGAAGGTCAAATTCCGACAGCTCCATTCAATTCAACCGTAGTATGCGTATTCTCCAGACCGAAACTACCGGCGACATAACACAGAAACCTCGTTTATCCTATTGTTCACTCTTATACACCGAATCCTCGTGGCACCAGGATCCACCGCCGATCTCCTCCACTAGTATCTCTCTCCCCACCAGCAAAAAATACGTGAATAGCACCGAATGACGACAAGAATAAAAGCAAAAATCCGAGAAACATTTTAATCGAAATCGTAACACGTTTCCATTGTTGTTTCACCATCACCACCATCCCCAAAAACCAGACGGTCCAGGCTAGGAATCCACACTCACCGGGGTTGGTCCACTGATAAATCCACTCGCAGAGACACTCGTTCGTTTGGCTCTTGTTGCACGTTCGATATGCACCACCCGAGTGTTTGTGATATCGTACGGTAATACGGACACGCGTGGAACGTCGTCGATCGAGGAGAGGTAGACGTGTATATCCGCGTGTCAGGCGAGAACGATTCGTCGCGCGCTAATGGATGATGATCGGTGAACCGAGACCATATCCTCTATATAAACGCGTCGCGGACCCCCGACGGTTTTGAGCTCTGACCTTCCCTCCCCTCGATATCGTTTCTCCCGTCCCCTCTTCTCTTCCCTTTCGCCCCTCCACTTTTGGTGAACCGATGAGGCTCGTGTACTGTCGCGTACCGGTAGCCTCGATCGCCGTCATGGAAACCGATCGATGGATCGATACAGGTGGTGCACGACAGATGGTTTTCTGGGTTTTATTGTCGGCCCACAAGATTAACTGGGGGTGAAACGAGCTGTTCTAATCGATCCGAGCAAGGGCAACGGGGGTTGTTGTTTGTTTGTCGGAGGGTACACACGCGCGGTGACGATCGGGTTACACGGGTGTGCGTTTATTAATAATATCGATGGTGAACTTGGGTGGTAAACGAGAACAATGCGGCAATGGTGACGACGAACGACGTTGAAAACGACGTGTTGGGGTTGGTCAGGACGCATACGGTCGATTCTACAGAGGGGTACGCTGTTCAGTGCGGAGGAAAACCGCGAAAAATGAATGAGACACCGTAGATGGATGGTAGATTTGAGAATAATTTTCCTCTGACGCGTTTTGGGCGGTTTGTGGGGTGGTCTTTGGGGGTGGGGGGCTGGCTGGAATATTATTCTGGTGATTTGGTTTGTTTAATGAACGATTTTATGTTTATTATTAATGAACACGTCGAATGTCCTAGAATCCCTTGGATCGTTATGAAATAAAAAAGTATTGACCTTTATGGGGTCTGAACCTAATAATTGACGAATAATTTTACCACGTTTCTTGAAAACGTATTGGGCATAATATCAAGTTGGTATATAAATATATGTATATGCATTAGATTGTCGCGTAACAAGTGTACATTTTCCAGCGTGGTTTATATCCGCCGTATTAGAATCGTTAAACCTGGGATCAAGTTCCTTGTGACCGGTCGAGCAAAACCGTGTCGCTTCAAATGGATCTAACCATCGCGTTGTCTGAAAAAAATCTTCGTTTGACGATAATTTATAATCGTTCAGGCTCGTTCGCTCGTAGAGACGACGTTTATCACGCAACAATCTAAATATATAGGCTCTTCTTGTAAATTTTATATTGCGCATAAATCCATGTGAAAAAAAAATTCCTTCGCCGGGGGATACCCGTGTGTGTTGGTTCTCCAAAGTTCTGCGATCAAAATCTGAAACTTGTCGCACGAGGTCGAGGCCCCAGTGGGAAGGTAACAAATGAGAAAGTAGCTCGCACACGTGAACGCTTTAATAATTGTATGATTTAATAATATTACGATTTTTTTTCCTTTATTTACTTACCCTGCTTTTTTGTGCATACATATATATTTGTATTGTGTAGTATATGAATATATTAGCGTTCACTTAGTGGGATTTATCCCATTTATTTAATAAAAAATAAATGAATTTTCATGCACGCGGCGAAGTCACACCTGGATGTGAAAATTCTCACTTATTACCACAATGTGTTTTTCCGTGCCAATCGACGACGCCGTGGTTTAAGAAAACGAAAGACAAAGTCATGAATCTTGAAATCCGTGAAAATCATCGAAGAAATAAAGAATCGATGAAGGACAGTCGTTTGACGTCATTCTTGACCCACCAAAATTCTGTCTTCTCGTTGGTGATCCGCGGATCGTGTGACTTCAAGACGAAGCCGGAGCAAAATAGTAGAGGTGATGGTCGCTCGAATGTCATTGAAAGACTACAACCGTTAATGGAAGACAAAAATCAACCTTGGCCGTAAATATTACGGATAAACTGTTGTGGCCTGCGTACGAGCATTCAATGTGTAAGGAAACTTCAGAAAGGTTGTGCACAATGGTACAACGCGTAGCTTCCCGCGGACATTCGTATTCGTCGCTCGTCTCGTCGTGGCACGGGAGAAAATGGAACGTGCTTCCTTATTTTCCTGTGTCTGGTGAAGAGTTTGAAAATTATCAAGACTTTCAAGATCTTCAAGACTTTTGGAACCCATCGAACTGTGAAAGAGTTCCTATATTCAAGAGTTTCAAGTTCAGTTGAAAACCTTTTCGCTTTGGCACGAATGCTCCGAAGCGGACCCAAGTTCGTCGCACTCATGGAAACATTACTGTATATCGAGAATCCCGTTGAAAGTTCAAATTCGAAAACGTGTCCAATCATCAATTATACGCGTATCCTTAGAACACATAGTGATCTATACGAGTGTCGGTTGTTCCAGCGTGCGTCAGAATTGTATCTCATTTCTATGTAATCGTTGTGACGTGTGTGCTCTCATAGAGAGAGAGAGAAAAAAAGTATGGAAACGTAGGACTCAGGCGACAGTGCAATGACGAAGAAGACACTCGCGATGAATAATGAATGACCCCTTTTCCAAAATTTTCCGTTCTCCTCACGGTGATCCCCGAAGGTCGGTGATTACGCAAGAAAAACGAAGATGACGGCTCGAGGTGAATACGACAACGTAACTCTGTGAACGGTAATACATTTTTATTTATTTATCAAACAAACAGGATAAATCCTATTAGTGTACATTAATATATATATACAAAAAAAGGCAGCATAAGTTTATACTCTCTCGATGTGCGGTTATCGAGCGAATTCGACGATCACTTCTGTGCTCGTCTGGAAAGTCCGATGCAGAAAGTTGGAAGTTTTATTCGCTACTTAACGGCCGGATGCACGAGTCTCCGTGATCGAATAAACGGGCTTCCAGCTTCCGTTGAAGTTCCTCGATTCATGTATGTAAGTTCCAAATGGCTTCCGGTTTCGATACCTCGCCTCGCACCTCTCTCTATCGTCTCGACAAACGTGTTCTGATCAATGACAATTTGCTGCGTCTGGCCTTTTTACGTAGATTAAAATAATCACAGGGACAAATTTTTTGAATATTTTATTCTCAATTCTTCGTAATTCCACATTACTCCCGATTACAAATTCCTTTAACTTTGTCTTTCATAGATTTTGTTTTCAATGTTCTTCCCGGATAGAGAATACTTCAGTGATCTAAAGGAACAATCGTCCGATCGGGGCAAAATCTAACGAATTGATGTTATAAAATCTTCCTGTCAAGGTGGTATAACTTTTTTTTTGCAAGTTCGACAGAACGGGCGCAATGACAATGGACTTTGTGATTGTTCGTTACGTTTCGACGATGTTTTTCGTGGAAAACAATAAAAAAAAAAGGAGACGTACTTAAACAGCAATGATCGAACGACTTCTCTTTCGTCCAGTGAACAGCCAACGAGATGACACTGCTCCGAACGATCCATACCTATTTACGGGAAAGATTCTCAAAAGTTCAACCCTATTGCTTTTCAAGTCTTGATCGACTCGATCGTTTCAGCGTTCACTCGTCGGACTGATACTGTTGGTAGTTGAAAAATGACTAAAAAAGAAAGCAAGAGGCTCCATATGCTTCTGTTATCAGCGACTGTAATCTCGATGGTCCTGTCTCTTCTAATCCGTGTAAAAACCGGCGAAAGTAATGATTTTTGTTACAATATTGTCTATTTTATATAATCTGGTCTCGACTTCTTGCCAATTATACCGTCTATATGCATTACTTAGATTTGATCTTTTCACGTGGATTAATAGTGAGTACGGCGGCGTCCTGTTCGCCGTTTAATAATCGTCGATCATGTAACAGGTCGCGATCGTAACAAGACCCACGCGTTCAACGGTACCGGTTTCGAGACACGTCAGGTGGGGCGTCCGTTCGTGTAGAAAAGGGAAATCACGAAATTTATCTGTAGCCGGAAGCGTCTACGACGGACGCAAGGCGATCTCCCCGTAGCAACCAGACGCAGTAATCGTGCGAACGTTGCCGGAAGTAAGAGTGTTTCCCCTTTCATCGAGCCGGGTAAAAGGTAACCGATGAATCGTTCGATCAGACGTGTTACAATCGAGCCCCCTACCAGGCCACATTTCGTCATCCGAGTTCTTCGAAGGGATCCAGGACTCGAGGAAGAACCTAAACGAGGACGTGGGTACCGATGACTAAGCCATGGTTCAGACGATATCTCGAGGAGCACGGAGGACGACGGAAGCACACCTCGTCGCGCCTGCTAGAGACGGCCCGTGCAACTTTCTCGATCACGAATCGCACATGTGGGAACACGGAAGGTGGCTGAAAACCGGCTCCAGTCGGTTCTCTCCTGTGACCGCAGTGCACGCAGGATCGTGCTGGAGCTTGGATCACCCGACGCATCCTTGACAAAGCCGAAGGACCAACCCGATCGGGAGCCATTACGCGGACGAACAGTGAGGCGCTAGGGTGAGTATAACCTCGATTCCCTTCTGTTCGAAGCAGATCTGGGGCATTTCTGAAATGACATTATTTGGAATATTATTTCAAATAACATGTTATTTTGTTTAATAATTACTCCCATGCCTGTGATCACGGTCTGAGATGACATTATTTGAAATATTATTTTATTTTCTAATCGTTTGAAATAATTCAAAGAAATACTTGTGAAATTGGTCTTCGAAATTCTATCGGGTGACTAGGTTTGAGTTTGATTTATTGACACTTTTCTGAAGAATAACATCCCTCTTCCGTCTTCTACTATTTTTCTTTCGCGACAATATTAGATGGACCCAGGTAAAAATCTCTCACGGATGAGCTGTTTGAAAAGCGGATTCTGCTTGAGGCAAATTGCCATAAAGATTTTTTTAAATAACATCTGTGTGTGCTCTGTGTGTCCTTCCTTCAACGGAATTAAGTATTATTGTTTCGTTATTATTCCTTCGTTTCACGCCGTTCAGTTGCAAGAGAATGAAATACGCGTATGTACCACAAAGGGACCTTGGTACGGATTAATAAACGAATCATGTGGCTTGAATAATTGTTACAAATTGATGTTAAAGTACGGGGATCAGAGTAATCTCACTTGTAAAAAAGTGAACAAAAAAATAATCACATACATATTAAACGAAGCTATGCGCTACAAGAAGCAGCGTATACGCGGAAAAATCAGACGGTTTCTTTAGGTTCTTGGTGATCCATCATTTTCCGACTGTTCTTATGAGTCCTCATCTTCGATCGATACACGAGTCGATCGTTTCCAATTTGCATTTTAAATCCAGCATAGGTGTTAAAGTACATCCATGAGTGAGTGTGCAATTCGCGGGATTATTTACAAGCTCCGAGAACAACAAGACCTCGCGGATGGAAATATATATTACATCGAACAAATGGTGGTGTGTAACTTGTCTCTCATAAACATCAAGTGCATACCAAAGTTTCAGCGCGTAGAAAACCGACATGGAAAAACTGGAAAAACAGCGTGGGACATTCGGATTCGTTGTTGTTTAACAAATAAAAACAATCACAAGATTTCGCGATCGAAGACAGCCCGAAGGAACGATTCACAACGACGTATAGTGTGATAAAAAATCGTCAAAAAATCGGAAAAAATTCAACCAGTAGAAACTTAATTTTTGTATTGTGTTAAAAAGTCGAAAACATCACTAAACGTACATTTTTAAAATTATCTCTGATTTGTTGGGTTTGTTTCACCAATGTGCGACGAGTCGAACGATTGACGTCTAGGATGTCGAACGCAGAGTTAGGGAAAAAGGGGTGGCCTGGAGTTGCAGACGTCTGGAGACTCCAACGGAGAAAGCAGTAATTAAGTCCAGATTGCGTGGACCAAACGTAACGAAACGTTATTACGTGTATTACGTGTTCCGAGCATTGACGCACGAATTACAGAGTCGAGTTGTTACGTGGTGGAATGGCGGGGGGGGGGGGCAAAATAATTTTACCCTTTTCGCCAACTGGAGACGTTTAATTCGTAATGTACATTACAAACTCTGGACCAAACTTCGATATTAGCCAAATGTACTATTTGAAAAGTAATCTTTCAAATAATTTATTATGGTATCTTCTTACCTGTTAATTAATATCATCGTGTGGTAATTTATTTGACCAGGACAAATGACTTCTCGTTAGATTAATTTACGTTATTTGGATTTCAAATTAAAAAATTTTTCATTTCATATTTTATTGGATCGAATATTTATTCAAATAAGTTCTCAAATACTCTCCAATTCTATCGTTATTAATTCTCTTATCTTATAACTATTTGTTATTTCATTCGAGTGACGTAACAGGAATGAAGAATTATTTGAAAATAATTTATTTCAATTAAAAACAGAACAAAGTTTCGTATGTTATATATGAAATAAAAATAATAAAGTATTTGAGATATACTTTACTACTACTTTAAAATAATTCATTATTTCGAATGATTATTTGTTATCTTATTTTAAATAGGATGTGCCCAACCCTGCTTCCAAGCAACATAGTACATAGCTGTACAAGATGTCAGTAACCTTTTCGTAACAATTACACGTACAGCTAGAAATTATTGATTTTTTATCTCCGCTTGTCAGATCGAGCATTTCGAAACCGCTGTGCGCGACGTGCGTCGTGAAACGGACAATAGAAAGAAAAGACGCTCGATGAAACGTTAATTCGAATCCCGTATTACGGTAATAACAGACGGTTGTGTCGATTGCCACGGCGTGTTACCGAAACGAACGCATCGTTTTGCGAGTTGCGAAATGTGTCACGGTCATCCTGTTGCACGTCCAACGAGGCTCGGTGCATACGCTAACTGACTTTTGTCGTGGGTGCGCTAGCTAGGCTCCAGCTGGCATCGGGGAGAAAGTAAAAGTGAGAATTATATTCCCCTCCGTTACGGAACAGGCGCTCGCGAAGAGGACCGTTTCCCATCAGGGAAGTTTCCGCGATCGTCGCGGTGCACAGCGATCTTTTTTCCCAAAAAGCTGGCCAGAATAACTGTTTTGAAGTAAGTAGCAGCTTGTTGCTAGCATGACGCATTTACTGTATACATATCAGTGTAACAAACGCTGCTGGAAATCGTAAAATATAGCGGTCTGTCAGTGAGATACAGGCCATTAAAGTTGACGAAATTTCGTGCTTCTTAATGGCTCAAAAACGCTAGCATGTTTAATGTATCAGGCGAAGTTTATTTTTAAAATAATCATGTGTAAACCATGTTACCATTAACATACATGTTATAAACATAAACTTTGCATACAAAAAATGTAGAATATCTTTGAACTTACTCGGTAATTATACAGAATAACGGAGCTACTTTCGGTTTTAATGATCTTGAAATATGTTGTCAAGGTCATCATTCTAGACAACTTTTTCTTATAGATACAATAGTCGGTCTCTTTCAACTTCGTAAATTTCCCATTTTCAACAAGTTAGGAATTTTGGCCAGCTTTTCGGGGAAAGACGGTCCACTGTACGACGACGGGAACGGGCGAATCGCGACCCTGAAGGATTTTATTAGCGAAAGTTAACGTGATCGGGAGAAGTTGTGTTCTCTTTCTGTGACGCAAGGTTCACAAAACTGTATGGGGAAGGGGGGCCCGCGCAGGTAAGAGGGAAAATCATTTCGCCTCGATGCACCGAGACCAGGGGGCCTCCGAGTAGTCGCTGCGGCCAGTTGCATCACCGACCGGCTTCGCTGCTGCTACCGATCTCGCGTGGTTCCCATCGTAGTAAACGTTTCACCTCTTTTTCTGCACCTGGTTGTGCACTTTCCCACTCGTCGGGCTGCATTATCCACTTGCTGCGTGTGAATGTTTAGTCAGTCGCAACTTTGTCAGTGCGCGAAACGTTCGTCGAGCTGTGGAAACAATCGGTTCGTTGTTTGCTTTTTATCCGTCCGAGTACCAATATGTCCTTCGATTAACCTGGTAAATGATAGAAATTTCTGAATATTTTTAGTAGATCTAGTGAATTCAGAATTGAATAACAATCTTTATTGAAAAAAAATATTTGTTTAATCAAAATATCACCTAAACAGTCCACTGAATTAACATGTGTAATCAAATATTTTTTTAACTCAAAAGAAAATTCTGAAAGGGTTAAGCATCGAAAGCTGAAGAAAGAAAAAATTCCTGAAATCTTGAAATTCCTCTTAGACAAAGCAGAACAACAATCCCTCCAAATTGGATATTGATCGAAGATTCGTCGACCGCTGCCAAAAAGAAAAACAGCTCTGGTTCGATTAGAAGTTTCCGGGGGGCAGGGCAGAAGTGTCGTAGCGCGCTATAATAACATAAACAAAACCAGTTCTTTACGTTCTGTGTGTGTGTGGCTAATCGTGACACTCTGTGTCTCAAATCCGTGACTCTCCGCGTCTGTTCGTTCCGCGATTGGTGATTGGTCGGTTGTTAAAAAACTGCACGGTGACTGCGTGTGTCTGGCTAAGGAGGTTATCTCTGCAGTTGTTGATGTTGGCGGATGACGTGCAACTGTGTTGCGAACGGAACGAGTAACTTTTTGCCTGCTGGCAGTAATATACACGTAGAGGATCGTGAATGACTGGAGACAGTAGACACGATGCCGCGGGTTGACGAGAAGATCGCGATCGAGGCCGAGTGCCCGATAAAGGATCATCCATTGTACGGAGCAGAGGAGCTGATCGGGGAGAGGGTATGATTAAAATATTAGTTTTGTCGATTCTTTATTAACGCGTTGCTGGCGGAAGTCTAGGACAATGTCCTTGTTCTTAAGGCAACGCAGCAGAGGACTGCTTCTCCTAGCTGTTCCTTCGTCAGTTAAACAAACCTAAGTCACCGATAGTCGAACACGTCAAGCAGTGGTTTGTCTAGTCGCGGATATATCTACTATTCCTCTGTCAAGATCGCAAGCATTCGATAAAGCCCTATAAAAAATCCTCCAATAATCAATGAACGAATTGGCCATCCACCTTCAACCCCATTCGATGATGGAACACGTTGTTGGTAAACAGGTAGATGCCCGGAAACGCCGACAGGAGGATCTGAACGGGATGCCGGAGCTGAAAGATGATCAGGTGGAGCCCCAGGACGATGTGGTCGGCCTCGACTTGGGTGAACCGTCGCCGGAAGTGATGGAGTACGCGAGAAGGGAGCTGGGTGAGACCGAGGAGGTCAAGTGTCAGACCGTTAACGAACTTCGAGACATGATTTACGGTAATCTCGGACGCGTGTCTAGTGGTCGGTTCGGTAAATATACTGTTTCAAACGTGCTCGGTCGAAACATCCGTCCAGGACTGTCGAACAGTTCGAACTGGGTCTGATCACGGCGATTCGTTTAAAGTAAAGGTCGTTTCCAAACAGTCTGATGACGTTTCGAATTTTGAAGGCTCTACAGACTCTTCAAACTCTTCAAACTCGAAGCTCTCCAAACTTCAAATCGATGAATAACCGATTATGAAGCCTCCGATACTCTACTACTCCAAACCGCTTAAAAGACATTCACGGTTCGAGAGTTTCGAGTTCGCAACGTTAACCATACCGTTTGAAATGTCATTGGACTCTTTGGGGCTTCGGATCAGACAACAGTTTGAATGGACTTTCGAAAATTCGAACACGAATGGGTCTTTCATTTCGACCGCCTGGCTACGATCAGTCCCAGTTTGAATCTGTTTCGACTCTTTTGTCGTATGTTTGAACACGTTTGAACGGTTCAATTACCCAATCTCTGATCTCTGTGTTTCACGCGGATTTCTGTTTTTCTACAGAGAGGGGGGAATGCCAGCCGCATAGAATGGACGATGACTTCCTGGTCAGGTTCCTCAGGGTGAGGAATTTCAATGTGAACCGGGCGCATCGATTGGTAAGTGCAGTTTCTTTAGTTAATCATCGGTGAGTGTTCGAAGGCTGTCGTTTTTAATGAGGTTTAGCACAGCTTGGAATATGAAGCCAATGATTCATTTATGTATTTATTTATTTATTTATTTTACTTAAATGAAACATATAATTAGAAAATACAAAAGTGAAAAACAAAATGGTAATTACAAAACACTGTAAACTTGGTTTTTTAAAGTCTGGATATAGTCAATAAAAAAAAATCAAGATCTTTACAGAAAGAATTCGCTGTTCCACAAATGCGATAAATGGGATCAGAGATAGAAAAGTTTGCGTTGTATCTTTGTAATAGATAGAGCAAATGATTTATAATAACAGATGATACTTGTTTTATATGGTCATTAGTTTATGAAATATTTCATGTTTAATACCGAGGAGCCTTCTAACACTCATTGATGATTCACTGTAATACCTCTTGTATCTATTAATGTTCGATCATCGAAGGATGAACGTATCCATGGTGAGAAAGTAATTTTGCTTCTTGGTCTTTCGCTTATGAAACCGTGTTTAACAATTTAGAAGCACGACACTAATAGATTGCTTGTAATTATACTGAATATACGCGAGGTCATTATGGAACTTTGTATACTTTTTTCTTACTTTTTTTTTAATGAAATCCTTATGTCTTCCTGCTTCCCGGTTTTTGTCCGTTTCTTTTTTTTCTGGCCCGTCGATTTTTAACCTGCTAATCTTTCCTGAATGTTAATGGCGCCACCGACCACGGATAAATAGTCTTTCGCAGCCGATTCATGAATACATACCGAGCCGTGGAGACGCACGACGTCTTTGACATTTCCTATCTGTACGCGAGAGGACACCGGAAACGGATGATTCATGAATCCGTAATTAATTGACTTGTATACCAATGGTGCTACAAAGTATATTGTACACGGAAAGTTTATCGGAATCTTCAGAATTCTATACAAGCGATAAGCGCACGATAAATATTGGAAGAAAAGTGAAAGCTGTCAAGCGAGGTTAATGGATTTCTTATAGATTTTGTGGTATTATTGAATTCTTATCGCGATTATTTCATTTTTTCTGCCCGAGTAAACAATACGGTATTAACCGTTTAACGCACGTTTTCTGTTTTTTTTTTTCTAAATCGACCTAAAAAGTTATCCCGTAAACTAAATAAACAAATAAATCAATAAAATCGTAAGAATAAAACGTTTATCGGGTATATCGCCTAGGAATCGTACGAAAGAGGTAGATCATTTGCAATCCGCGTGGCAACGAGGCGTGATTCGTCGAACGTAAACCAGTCACAAGTAGTTGCACAACCATGCCAAGGTGAGCTAACCTGTAGCTGTCGGTAACTAACGCGTTCGAAAAGGTAGTAGGCTTTCGAACAGAACACTACCTTCGTATACTTCTCATTCGACTGTTATCCTGTCGGAGAAACGAGCAATCTTTCGACTCAAACGAATCTTCCTGATCGAAAATATCTTCTTCGTACATATACGGTTCCTGATCGTTATCAGAAATTCTATCTTTAGAGGCCTGATTAATGTGTTCTTCGGTATTAATACCTCGACTACGTTACTTCTTTTTATTTATTTATTTATTTATTTAACGGGACAATACCCATTAGAATGCAAGAGAAGAAAATGTGTAAACATATTTATATAAATGTTTTTTGGAATCGATCGGTTACTCTGGACACTGATTACTAGACTGCAGATGTTTATACACACATAGTGATTTTACAAAATGCAGCAAAATAAAGATTTTAATGAAACTCAATGATGTTTATGTATTATTATCAACATAATAAGTAGACTGCGGATTGTTAGGAAAAATGACATTTTCTGAAGTAATTCATAAATACAAGAGCAAATATAGGACTTTTTTATTTCTCTTAAGGCTCCGAATCATATAAAAAAACTCATTGCATCTGATGGAAGTTTTTCTGTTTCCTGTATTTCACAGAGCCCTATAGGCTATAAATGCATATGTATAATCCACAGTTTAATGTTAAGATATCTAGTGCAGAAAATTATTTTTTATCTCATATTCATACTCATAAATTAATGGAGAAAATTGCGAATGTGCATAAACATCTGCCAGTCAATCGATTAGAAAAACAAATTGTCCCAAGGTTGCTCGATATCAAATAGTCTCTCCATCTCTCGCACGAACGTAAAAAATCGGTGTGAAATATTTGAAATGCAAATTCGTGGATAAACGCATTCTGATCTGCCGTCGTAACCGCTGTTTCCTCATGAAGAAATCACTTGATGAGCAAGTACGGTGGTCGGTAAATACCTTCGCGCGTTCTATTACTGAACTGCTCCCGTGTATTAAACGGAAATAATCTGTTCCGAGTACGTTGATGTTTTTTTAACTCCATCTTATATCATCGCGTCGATAAAGTTTAAATTACAATTTTTTTTTTTAATTCGCGTGAGTGAAGATAACGTGAAAATATAATTCGAGAAGTGACATTAATACGTTAAACACGGAGCTAATTTTGCTTCACTTTCCATTTAGCGAGTACTATATACACATATAGTCAGAAATTGTACCAAGAAAATCGTAAAATCCATTAAAAAAAGTCTTGTTGCTCCTCTGAACCGGATCTTTCCGATAGATAGTGAATTACTACAACTTCAAAGAGCAACACCCGGAGATCCATCAGGACGTGAATCCCGTGAAGATGAACCACATCGGTGAGGACGACGTGATGACGGTGCCGCCGTACAGGACCCAATGCGGCCGACGGATGATGATCTTTCGATTGGGCAATTGGGATCCGAGGAAGTATTCGATGGAGGAGATATTCAAGGCTACCGTGATCATTCTTGAGCTGGGCGTGCTGGAACCGAGGGCGCAGATTCTTGGCGGGGTCGCCGTCTTTGATCTCGAAGGGATCACGATGTCGCACGCATGGACCATCACGCCACAGGTATGTATAAATGTATACAGTAAATCCTCGATCAGTGTTCGAAGGCTCCTTTGAATTGACAGGGTGATGTCCCCAAGTATAACGCTGACCTTTTAACCTCTTGGCTGTGAATGACGATTATTCTCGTCACGAAAAAATAGAAATTTTCTATGTAACGACGAGTATAGTCGTCATTCACAGCCAAGAGGTTAAAAAGTGAACGTTACACCTGGGGATCTCACCTTGTCAGTGCAGAGGATTTACTGTGTATCGAACACAGGATTCTAAATCACTAGATGGTCCAAGTTTATCGAAGTACACAACGAAACGCTAATCTAATTATTCTACAGTTGAATTCGAAGCTTCCCGATTGTCGACGCGGCGTGTTCGGGTAATAACGAGCGTTTCTAATCAAAAAGGGATCCACCCAGGCCCTCTAATTTATCTCTGGACAGATTCTATCGTACGCTATCGATCTACTTTCGCCAGCGTTCTTGAAACTTGAGCCATTTATAACGCCCTTGAAACTAATAGTCCCTGCCTTTTATCCCGACGACCTCCTGTTACATTTATTCATCCCCTCCCCCCTCCTCCCGCGAATCCACGTCGAGTGGTGGCAGAGCCCGAATGGGAGGGAGGGATGGGACCACTAATGGTGTCCTTGAAACTGGAACGATCTATGAAGTTCTCGACACCGATTTTACTTCCGTGGGGCTAGAACTTTCTTCGTGGCCACCACCTCCGTTGTCTCGACGCTTGAAAAAACAGGAAGTTGTGGTACCAAACGACGGTTGAACATCGTCGAGGATCCCTGGTATGTCTGACAGGTCTTCGTATTGTTGGTGCGAGCCGGTGTAATTCGACGCAGCGTTAACTTCAATTAATTTTCATATGGCCAATTTTAAGGTCTCCATATTTCTGTAAATTTATCCAAAGTGTCCGATTTCGTGAGAACTTTCAAGAACCGACTTTACCAAGTACCACCTTAAAATCCAGCTTACCATTTCAGGGTCAAGCATCTTACCTTCAGGATAAAATCGAAAACTCGTTACAATCGATGAAACTTTCGTCTTTTTTTATTTTATTTCACGGAGCGCTCTATAAGCTAAGCGAAAAATTCATAAAATCCAGTCTAGTAATTAGATGTACCTATGAAAAAAAACGAAGAATTCCCCAAAGGTTACCTAACTTTAGACGCGACAGGCTAGTGTAGCTGTTTTCTTGTATGATTAATCGTCCTGGGGAGTCCTAATTAGGTCGACGAGCCTCGTCGACGGTTCGATATACTCTCGTGAGTTCAAGTCTCATATACAGGGTGTCCGACAATAGCTTCTACTCCCAGAAATGAGGTGTTCCTGGGATGATTTTAAAGAACTCGTTGACAAGCCTCGGATAACATTTTTCCTAAGGAAAAACTTGTTTCAAATCACCTCAAGAGTCTTCAATTTCCGGATCCTCCAACATTTTTGTTACACCCTGTATATGCATATACATATACTACCTGTACCCCATCGATCCCCGCAGGTGGCCAATATGGTGATCGCCCTGATGGTGTCAGCGTTCCCAATGAAGACCACCGCCATACACATCCTCCATCAGTCCTGGGTGTTCGACGTGATGTTCGCGGTGTTCAAGCCGTTGCTGGACGTTCGTATGCAGAACAAGATCTTCTTCCACGGGAGCAACATGGACAGCCTCCATCAGCACATCCATCCGGCGCAGCTGCCGAAAAAATACGGTGGCACTCGCGAGGAGTTGCCCTATTATAAATGGATCCAGAGTCTGAGCAAGGATCCGCAGATCGTCAAGGAGATGATGATGCTCGGTTACGTGCTCGACGAAGACATGCTCAAGCAGCTGAACGAGAAACACCAAGACTGAACACACGTATCCAGTCCCAATTTTCGGGTACTAGTAGAACTTTTACTGTATACGTAAAATTTTGTATCGTAATTTATCTTAGTGTTCGCTCTCGAGCAGGTGGTGTGTACGTAGCTCTGTTCGGATAGATATAGAATATATTTGTCTGTTAATTCGTGGAAAGTATGGAAACAATAGAAGGTTTCGCATGAAATTAGGGCCGAGGCGCCTGACAAAGGGTACCCAATAAGGAGTGAATGTGACGAGTCGAACCTGTAGGTGACAAATATTAGTTCGACCTAATCGATCGAGTAAATCCTCGATGAGTCTTCGAAGGCTCCTAGGCACTGACAAGGGGAGTTCCCCAGATGAAACGCTGGCATTTTCGTGAAGTTCAGCACAGTGAATAGAGTGTGGAATTCTGAAGCCAATGATATTAGTTTATGAATTATTTAATGTTCAATTTCGAAGAGCCTTCGAACACTCATCGAGGACTTACTGTATTCCTAAAAAATTGTCAGACGTTTAACCGGAATGTTAATTAAACTTTCCAGAGATAGAGGATATTTCGCCGTTGATTTTGTTTCACAGGTCGCGAGGGAACCGTGATTGGCCGTCGATGAATTTAAAATTCCCCCCTCTCCCCAGTGAATCGCTTGCTTTTCCATTCGGGCGAAGGAAAGAGACTCATTTCCCGTCGAAAACTCCCTCGGATCGTGTCCCCCCGTGGCGAGAACCGATTCATCCATAGTTATGAGCCCCCACCTCCCATCCAGGTGACGACGAATCCCGCGTCGTCGTTCAGAATGTTTACCTGGACCACTCAAGGTAACGCTTTATCGCCGATTTTCTTTTACAATTCCTTTCTATGAACACTAACAGATGCGCGGCGAGTGAAAAAATTGTCGACTAGGGTTAATAATTTCGTTCCATTACGGTCGATGTTTGTGTCATTTAAAAGGATTTTTTGACACGTTTGTTGACGTGATGCTTTTGCGAACGAGTCGAATGGTTTTGTTATCTATCATCCGGTTCAGGGAAGAAGATCTGTGATGCGTGTGAAACTATTACGACGGAAGAAACGTGGTAATGAGGCGGAGGAAACGGAATTAGGAGAACGGCAGCGATTAGAGTAGATCGATTACCTGTTGACGGAAACCTGGATATACGGACGGTTAATACATTTTCTGAGACTGTGTTAGTGTGAGTCCGTGTCTGGTAATCGGGTCGGGGTTCTATACAGTGGACCACGAAACGTCTGATCAGGTTGGATTATTCTACTGGCTAGCTGTTCGATCGAACATTTTTCTGCGGGCGTAACCCTTTCGTGCCCACTGTTGCCATATGGTTATATATTCGAAATAAAATATTAGTATCATGTATTTCGTTCATATCTGTGAGTATACAGGGTGAAAAATATGAAAGATAATCGTAGTCTACATAATCTTGTGAACTACTATGAAGCAGAAAAAAAGTTTTGCTAATAAAACGACAGCCATGTACAGCAAAAATTCATTAAATTTGCAACTCCTTCAGGCGATATAAAAAGCTCTATTGGAGATATTGACATAATCGTAATTCACAAAATACAGTAAAAAGATGTTTCGACTCTATGGGAATACTATCTGTAGAAACGGTACCAAAGAACAAGAAAAGAACAAAACGAAACAAAGGGGGTGGAGGTCCCAGTGGTTACAATTAATCAAAGTTCAACGATCCAGGACACAGCGAATAATAGGCGGGTGGTTGTGTGGGGGTGGTTGGACGGGCTGAAGCCTGACCATCCCCAGAAAACAACCGAATCCAGAGAGTAGGATGACCGGTATCGGGGGGCGGAGGGGGATTCGCGGAAGAAAACCAAGCGGAGCCACCACCGAAACGAGAGGAAGGGTGTTGCAGCTGGGTCGGTAGGTATATAACGCGTAGGTAGGGCAGAGAGAACACTGGTGCAGGTAGCGTGCACCCGCTTATCCCTCTCTATCTTCTGGGGTTGGTTGATATCGACCCACGACGGAGGGTCGGAGGGATAGAGAGAAAGATAGAGGGAGAAAGGGAGAGAAAGAGCGCCCATCGGGGTGTTCGCTATGGCGCAAGCCTGGACGGGGAACGAGGGCGCGAGAGGAGAGGCGAACGAAGGGGCGCGCGCGCGCGCTCGAGCAAGAGTGGCGGCTCCGCTTCCCTCCAAGGGAGAGTGGCAGAAACCGGCAGTAGTAACCCGGCCAGTACCCCGCTCTCGCGCGCGCGGGTGCAGTCGCGGCGTTTTCCGAAAGAAAAAAAAAATAGAAAAAGAAATAAAACAACCCACCGTGTATGTGTGTGTGCGAGAGAATAGAAGAGTGCGCGTGCTAGATGGTAACAGGATCGTGGTGGCGTGTATATGTGTTCTGTTCCTGAAGCACATCCGTGGAACGGAACATCGTATATCCCCTAGGTTGTGGGTGTGTGTACACAGAGGAACCGGTGACACATCGCGTATAAGCCGCCACCGAGGTTATACTCGAGATCGTGTGCAGGATCAGAAAGAAGGACGAGACACCTCGGCTGTGTGGAGTATGCACAGGGTGTCTTTTCCTTTGGATACACGCGTGTTCTACGGTGGGATAGGTAGTATATACGTGTGAAGTCTGATAGGTTGCGAACAATCGGGGCGGCGACCAACAACACAACGTTCGTATACCTACTCGGAACCGATAGGACTGGAGTACCACGGGAACCAACACCGCTGGAGGACCAAGTGTTTCCAGAGGGGTGCGGAGGCGTGTAAGAGGACAGGCCTGCTTGTTACTCATCTGGCGAAGTCTGTCGGGAGGAAATGTCATCGAGACTGTGAGGAACGGAAGTACACACCACCAATCCCGCCGCCATGTCAAGGAGACCGGAGACCTCGAACGAGGATTCGTACCTGATCGCCGGCAGGCCGTCGAACCTGCTACGGACGAGCTTCACCAGCGCCCAGCTGGAGGGCCTGTATCGTGACTCGTCCCTGCAACAGAGACGCGGCGGTTTACAATGTTTTTTGATCTCGGCACTGTTTTACGGTGTCCAGACGATGGCCACACCGGGCCAGGGTCTCCACGCCCGTAGCCTGAACGCTGTGTTTCTCGGCGTGAATCTCGGCCTGCTCGCCTGGGCCGAGCACAATCCACGGGGTAAGGACGCGCTCTCGTGGATCCTGGTCCCACACATGGCCTGGTACTTGTCGATCGCGCAACTGCTCGCTCAGCTGTGCCTGAAGACCGGGGAGGTCACGCCTAGGGACGGGCTCGGCTGGCTGTTGCTCTTGCTCTATCTGCTCTACGCGACGTTGCCCCTACGGTTGTTCTTTTGCGCGTTGGACGCCCAGAGCACCGTGCTCACTTACATCCTCGTCGTAATAGTGCTGCCCAAGGGGATCGCCCAGATACCGATCGACGTGCTGGTAGGTTGATTCGGCCTGCCCGTACCTGCTTGTCACACCTTAGAGTTAGGGTATTGTGTGCCTCCTCGAGGTACAGTGACTTCTGTAAGAAAGGTTTGGTCTGTGACATCTTTAAGGAGGCAAGTTAAGCGCCCAGGAATGGTATTTTTCGGGTACGGTAAATTGTCCGTAGAAATATAATTATCGTCTGTATGTTGACCTTTTATCTATACGAATTTCAATTGCATTCGATCTAGAAGGCGGTTCGAAAATATCGGTGACTTGGACAGGTCTCGATTTCAGAACCAGATGGGTTCATTGGACATTTTTCACACCCTTTCTAGGTGAATACAGTAAATCCTCCATGAGTGGTCGAAGGCTCCACGGCACTGAACATTAAGTATTTCATAAACTTGTATCATTGGCTTCAGAATTCCAATCTCTATCGATGTGCTAAACCTCATGGGAGGGGTCTCCTTGTCAGTGGAGCCTTCTTGAATAGTTTTATATTCTATGAAGAAGACCATATTTCAAATTCGAAGGCTACGGAAATTGTCAGACGTGTGGTAAAAGAAAGTAAATTGCACCAAGTCAGTATAACCCTGAAGAAGTACCAAAGGACACATTTAGTGGCTTGTACCTTAAAGGGTATCGCACAGCACACCAATTTAGAGGGTCATACCTGAAGTCACTATAACTCGAAAAAGCACTATAATAGTCGGTACTTCCTGTACTGTATCACATTTAGGCTAGAATCATCTCCAGTCACACACGGATTCTATCATCTGATTCACATCACGGATCTGTCATGGTCATCGATCACACGTCTGTGGTAAGTCTCGATGCCGTGACCAAGAGCCGTGGATGGAAACACATCGAGGATACAGAGCGAGATACCGCGGTAGCCGTTCAGTTTGTAGGGTTACTAAGTTACGAGAGTCTCTGACACAGTAAGGTTTCGGACCGTACCAAGGGTTGGCTGGCGCTGGTTTTTGAGGTGTTAGGGGCGAGGACCATGGGGAGGCAGGATGAGCGCTCCTGGCGGTGGTGTGGATCGATATCTCGCTGGCGATTGGTTGTTCTACTTTCGGGATCGAGGATCGGGTTGCCGGGATGGTAAATGGAAATTGTTATTTGAATCTGGATGATCTGGAGAATAGTGGCGGTATTTAGCTGATATTTGCTTTCGGAGGTGGGGGCGTTTCGGGTAGATGATATTTCGGAGGTATTTATACGAGACTGTCGATGTACAGTGGCTCACAATTTTGTTCACAAAGGACTGTCATTTCTATTTGACTTAATTGGTTATTTACAAAAATGATAAATCTAATGATAAGGCGAAAGCATGATAAATCTAGTGATAAAGGCAGAGCTGGACAGAATTTTATTCGAATAATACACAGTGAAAAGCAGCAGTATCTGAGGGTATCGTCCTGAGCTTTAAACAATTAATGAAATTAAATAATTGTTCGGAAAATGTCGTTTCATTCATAAAGAAGTATTATTTTATTAGAAAAATTGAAATTTCCACGTTTCAATAATTAAAAATGACGAAATACTTTTTTTAATTTTTTAAGGGTGCTCTAAAAAACCATTCCACCAAGTTTCGACGCGTGATTGTGATTTCAGAAGTCTTCACTGTACCTTCTGTAATATCCGTAGCTTCCTGCCAGGTTCCGGACGAATCCTCGATGTTAATGATCGCGACAGATTGCTCATTACGGGCTCTCCCACCCCCTTCTCCCTCCATCAGAAGTCAATCCACCAACGATGATCACGTTGTCGAATCGAACATCTAGAAATTCCCCATCATGCTCCTTCTTCGCGTTTTCTTTTCTCGAAAAAAACCCGTTCAACGCCTCCCGGAAGCTTTCGCGCTTAATCACGAACTTTTTCCTCTGTCCCTTTTCCGCCGGACACGGTTTAATTACCCGGCTCTGGACGATGCCTTGCGCGCCAACCGTATCGACAGGAGCCACCAATTAACATTGGGATGGAAGGGGTAGGGGATTGATTAAAAAGGAAACTGTTCAGGATTAAAAAAAAATTATCGTCTGGCGTTGTTGGAACGCAGATAGGACTGCGAGTCACTGGAGAGAATGTGTTACCGTTAATATGAACGAGTAATCGGTTTTACCATGTATTTTGTATTCATCTGACAAATACGCAGACAGTAGGTGTTATTTATTAATAATAAATAACCATTATTTGATACCCGAAGTGGTCGAGTCAGTTTCATTTCTGTCTGTCTGGCCGGAGACTGTACCAATCTACTTAATTCTCGATGAAAATACAGGGTGACTCCCAAAGCTACATATAAGCAGACATGAGACGATTCCTCGCGAAAAATGTAATTAGATGGTTTCAAAATGTTAACATATTCTGGTGAATCATTTATATGTCATCTAATATTTTTTAATAAATTTTCGTTGGTCCAAACGTCGAATTGGAATATTCTTCCGAATGAAATTCCTCGGATACTCGAGTTCCGATGTTCTTTTCCGAAGGCTTTATTGTTGCGCCCTTTTATGAAAGAAATGGGAAAGGAACGGCCGATTCTTCCAGTATCGAAACCTGGGGAACATTTGAAACTGGGTATAGGATTAACCGAGCGACTTCCATTCCGTAGAAGAACCCCTCGAACACTCCGTACGTAATAATCGTTGTGCACGCTTGCGGAACTGAGACGACTGGAGGGTCGTAACACTCGTCGGAAATAGAATTTTCGCGGGATAATTCTACCGTTCCGATTCCCTCTTGGAAATAAGAATCTCCTCCGATTACGAAGAAATACGGTGGCGGTTTTACGAGAGACGGGAGGTGGGACGCGAAATATATCGAGGGTGAAATGCGAAATATAGGGTGAGTCAATAAGAAATGCTATCCGAAATAAGTCGTTACCATTTTGGTTGTATCAGAAAACGTTTTTAATGTATTCTTTGGCATTTTAAGGGTCGCATCGGATCGATACAATTGGATTTTTATATACCTTATTTCTTTTGAGACATCAAGTTGACCTTGAGTTTCTTACAAGGTCAATGCATCTTTTTTTTAATACGAAGGAGGACGAAGTCGACGACCTATAGCATAATGATCTTAAAAAAAATAGATGCATTGACCTTGACAAAAATTAAGGTGACTGATATGTGTAAAACAAAAGATATAATGGAATGAAATTGTTTCCATCCGATGCGTTCCTGAAAATGCCATATATTTAATTAAAACGTTTTTTGATACTGTGAACTACAGTGGACTCTTACGATATTGCCGTAAAATTCTTGGAAACGGCAATGCGTCGAGAGCTCCCTTTGTGGCGACGGCGTAGGTTATGTGGTGGGGGAGCTAATTTGCGAAGAAGTGCATCTCATGGCAATGGGTAATGAGTTATCTTAGATAGTAGTTCTTATCGACACACCCTGTATATGGTAGTAAGTACGTGGAACACTAGTGTTCCAAGGAACACCACTAGTTAAGAACCACCTTTACAGAGGGTAACCGATTTACAGGGTTAGGGAAGGGGGTAGGTCGGTCGAGGAGACAGAATTTCGTGTTCAGGCCGAGCGACTCGACGTCTCGCAGCACCAGTTCCTCTCGAGAAAATAATTATAAGCCGGTGCAATCTCGAGACGCAACAAGCAAGTCCTCGGTTCTTGCGGCGGCAATTTTCCGTGGCTCTCCCATTAAAACTGCTTCCTCCCACGGATTGGGAGGGGCAGGAGGGAAGGAAAGAGGATTTCGCGGATGTCCACCCCTCCACCGAGCACTGTTCTATCGTAACGAGCCGGAAAATTGTAGCCACCGAAGGGGACGACGACACAGCGATGCAGTTTTCCCGCTGGAAACATTAGTAGAAAGTTCTCAGCTCGCCGGAGATTCCCAGAGACGGGTGGAAAAAAAAATCCAATAGACGCGTTCTTCCGTGTGCGTTCTGGCGGACGGCTGGGTCGTTCGCTTACAATGTTAACGGAAGTGGCCAGCGTAATTGGGCGTGAAGATATACCCTGTTGTTGCGTGAAAATTGCAATGTGTATACTATGTACACTGATTTTTGGCGATCGGACTCGGGGAGTACAGTAAATCATCGATGGGAGCAAGTCAAACGCCCAGTGGTGAGGGTGACGACTGAACATCCAGTGCTGAAGAGCCTTCGAACATTTATGGCTGATTTACTGTATTATGTATATTTTAATTCTGTCAGACGTGTGACGGAACAGTCGGACATTTCCATCTCGATAATTAACTTCTCGACGGTATCGACGAAGAACCAAATTGAAATAAGGTCTTTCGGTTTGGGTCAACAGGGTTTGATGAGTGACAGAGACCCAGTGGCTTGGCTGTGATTCGTCGCCCCGTAACGAAATTGCGGTGGTCTCTAACGAAATTTTCCTAGACGTATGGAGGATCGCGAAAGCGGAAGCTGTGGGGGGGGGGGCTTGTCGCGTGGCTCTATCGTTTTAGTGACACTCGAGTAGAGTTCGGTCAATGGTAGTTTAAAATAGAGAGAGGCAAAAGGGGCACCGGAGATAGAGAGAGAGAGAGAGAGAGAGAGAGTGAGTCAATGACGCGACGTGTGTCGCCTTTCCATGCACGATATCCGATCGGTTTTCAATGGCAGTGACGTTTCTTTGAAAATTCACACGGTCGACGGAGACGGCCATAATTCGAACTATATTTGCAATGATCGTTGCTCGATCAACCCTCATCACGGGGTTGAACCGAGGGCTCAAGACCTCTCTCGTTGGGTGCGACCGTCGTGATGCGTTACTGTTCCGGAGGTGTTGAGTTACATTGAACAATTATATAATAATATGGACTACGCATAGTTAGCTCTTTCGTTGTCCAAATGTAAGCACCTTTGGATATCTCATTTGTTTGTGAAAATAAAAAAATGTGAGGTGAAAGTAGGCAGTATATGGTTAGAAGAACCAAATGGTGTTATTTATAAGTATTAGGAGTCTTGGCCTGTATGAAAAAGATCCGATGTTTCTTAAATATTACACATTTCGTTTATATTAGTGTAATTGTTATCGATCGAGTTTTAAGTTGCTCTAGACAATATTGATTTCAGACCTTCAACAATAATGCTTTACTTCGTTTACTTCATATCTGGACTACAGAGCCAGAGAGTATAAGGTCTATTTAAAAAAAAAATGACCTTTTACATGTTTCCTGTATAAAATATTTCGCTCTTTCCGATGGTAAAAGTTACTTCGTTCTAAATTGTTTAATTTTTAATATAGGTACGTAAGAGTCTAAAAAGTGATATTAAGTTCATATTTTTAGAACAGTGTAAAGGTCATCGCATAGGGGAAATAATGCAAATTTCACCATTTCTGCATATAGAGACTATCTTAAATCCATTGAAAGTGTGACTTAATACACTCTAGCTCTGGAGTCCAGATACACGATAAGTGTCCTAACGCTTATAAACGGAAGTGTATACTGTGTGTACGAGACCATCTTTTTTGCCTGAACGGTAAATTTCCGTCGCGAACAGAACCACCGATAAAACGGTCAAAAATTCAATTATCAATCCCGTCTATTGTCTCCCAGAGGCTGGACGGGGAGTGGAAGCGGTCGCAACAAAAGGGTTCGCGGCGGTGAATGGACCGGCCATCGAGCGTGGAAACGGATCAAACACCGCTCACGACACCGTTCGACCGATTTTCCGTGGAAAAGTGGAAAATTAAAAAAAGAAAAGAAAGAAGGTTGGACTCGCGTGGCTTTGTCGAAGAGACGTCGAACATTTCACGATTGGCGACGCAGTTTTTCTCCCCTGAGGGGTGGGGATTCCATTTTCAACCCTTTCTCCACCCCCGTGACGGTAGAAATTTGAAACCTAGTGGCATGGATGGGAACTGAAGCGAACTAGATTGAAAGCTTTGGGGAAACTGGCATCAGAATAGTCGTCTCGAATTGAATGGGACAGGCTTCTAGAACAAAAGTGGGGCTTATCGATCCCACCCCCTTCCCTGGCTTTTCCACGGAAATCTAGCGACGCTTTTGGTCGTGTCTTGAAAGAAACTCGTGTCCTGAAATCCAGAACTCCTGGAATCGTGTACGGATAGACGATGAGAATGTATGATGTCCTTCTCGAAATCGTAGAAATTTCGGTAGAAAATAATTTAAGAAACACACGTTTTAGAGGGTCAGAATAATTATCGTTTCGATACGTAATAAATAATTTTAATTCATAATGTAAATGGTATATTGGAAAGTGAACGTTTCTTTTCTTTTTCTTATACCGACATGAATTTCCTGTGCACAGTTCAAAACGATCTTAATTCTAGCGTTTGTATATTCACTGAAGGGTCTTTTTACTTTTCCAATAGGAAGAGTTTCCCTCTTTTGTTCATGAACGTCTCATTTGCATAGGATCGCGTACTTGCCAATTATTAACATGCCCGGTATCTTTTTATGATTCATCCATGTGCACGATCGCGCACGGTGTGCCTATACATATAAACTGTATCGACTTAGTTTTCCTGGCAACGTTGTATCGAATTCGAACTCGTGCAATCACTCGGAAACCAATACATCGACATACTCCACGAGATGCCACGCCAATTTAATTCACGTTTAAATCACGTTCGTTTAATTTCACGCAATATCCCGTTGGAATGTCTGGAACAGGTCCTGACGTTAACGTTGACGACCGGCGCGATGTTGCTCGGCGTCTCCAGCTACTTGCTCACGGAATTCCAGCAGCGTCGCGCGTTCCTCGAGACCAGGCAGAGCCTGGAGGTGCAGCTTGTGATCGAGGAGCAAAGCGCCGAGCAAGAGAGGCTGTTGCTTAGTGTGCTGCCGGAACACGTGGCGGTGAAGATGCGACAGGACCTCGGCGCCTCGTTGGACACTCAGTTCAAGAAGATCTACATGTCCAGACACGAGAACGTGTCCATACTTTACGCGGACATCGTCGGTTTCACCGCGATCTCGTCGACGTACAGCGCCAGCGAGCTGGTCAAGATCTTGAACGAGCTGTTCGCGAGGTTCGATCAACTGAGCGAGAGGTAAACTTGTATGAGAAAATTATTCTTTGGAGCATTCCACGTGAAATCGGATACTTTTTGTAATTTTGAAACAACGATATTAAGGTTCTGGCCGTTGAAGGGTTAACACAGAACGAAAAATGTTATCGAAAACATTATACGTGGGGGGTCGTATCGTTCTATCTGAAGCGTCTGCGATGAATGTTCGTTATGAAATTCAAACCCAGAAGGGACTCGTGAATTCATACAGAATCACACGTTACGATTCACCCTGTTGGACATAAGCGTCAGTAGTACGAGTCAATGTAGAAGCTTGGCGCGAGGAGTTCACGTTCTGTACTCGAAACGTGTACTCGACACATCACGCCGTCTCTCCATTTGCTAAACATACGCTTGAAACCTAGTGATAAAACCAAGTCCTTTCCTCAGTTCTTTCTACTGAACAGGAACCTGAACATAATATATCTTTTTAACCTTTATCATGAAATTCTTTTCATGACAATTCTTTGTTCTTCAAATTTCTTCTCGATACAATCCGAAATTCAATCACTTCTATTATTCGTATATTCGAATTATTCGACGCATTCGAATTCTTTGAATAAATTATGCGTATTCGAAATTATTCGAATTATTAGTTTCGAATTATACTTACAGTTCTAGCGTAGATGGCTTTATTCTTCAGTTTCATTTTAACCCCGTGGATTAAGGGACACCCTGACCCTAAATGTTTGTTTTCAGGTACGAACAGCTACGGATCAAGATACTGGGCGATTGTTATTATTGTATAAGCGGGGCGCCGGTCGAAAGGCCCGACCACGCTGTTCTCTCCGTTTACATGGGCTTGTCCATGGTGGACGCCATTAAGTACGTTCAACAAACAACAAATAGTCCCGTAGACATGAGGGTCGGTATACACACGGGCGCCGTGCTGGCTGGTGTGCTTGGCCAAAGGCAGTGGCAGTTCGACGTGTACAGCAAGGACGTCGAGCTTGCGAACAAGATGGAGAGCAGCGGAATGGCGGGGTGAGTCGAAAAAAGAAATCTTTGTTCGATTTTATTGTTTACCGTTAGAGTAGGAAAAACAAAAAAAATGGAAAGGTTTCAATACTTCTCGCGTTGGTACTCTCGTACAAAGTGCTCGCCGAGTGGAGTGAAAGAAATTGTCCAAGAAAAGATTTCCGAAGACGAGAAAACGGCTGGGTAATTTTAGCATAGTTACGCGTATCGAGGTGTACGTCTGCGGTTATAGTTATCAGATGGAAGCCGTTATTAAAACGGGCGGTGTGGGAAGCGTGTGTGTATTTAAAGCACGAATTCAATATTTTTACTCCGTGCCGACCTAGGCTGGAGGGTAATCTCCCTCCCCACTCTCGAGACGAGAAAGAACCGAGAGGATCCATCCTACGCTATATAAAAAGGAAGAAAAAAAAAGCAAGAGCGACGCCCTGAATCAGTCTAACCGAATCAATTCTTCCCAACCTTTCGCCTGACATTTCACATTTCTCCCTCGGAATCCAATATCCATAACAATTTAACCCCTGAACATATTAATCGAATCTCGCGACAGAGAACTTTCACGTCATACCTTTAAAATTTCAAAGAATATCAAGAAATTCACTTCCAATGCGACTGTTTATAAACATTCTCGAATCTCGATATAATCGATTAAATACACCGATCAGTTATAGTAACATAAATTATACATAAATTATCTACGTTCGTAGATTCTGGATCTCCTGGCTCAATTAATCGAATAATAAAAATGGACTATGTAGATTCTGTCACGGAATTTTTGTTTCGAATAGAATAAGGGATTGTAGATTTTGTCACGAAAACGAAGGATTGACGTAGAATGAGCGCAGGGGCACCGTGTTATATGTATATCTTTGACATTAATTACCCAACGAGAAACGGCCGACAGGGCAGTGCTTTTAATCCGCTGTCGTACGTCTATTTTAGCGGAGAGCATGTTAAAGGGCGAGGTGGATGAATCGCCGCGTCGAAACTCACCCTACCGTGTCCCATTCACTTTAACTCTCCCGGCTAAACAAACAGGGATCCTCCACCGTCTTTTTATTTTAACCGCGCGCTTTAACACTTCGTTTCAACGCCGTGAATACAATCATCGTGGAATAACACTCGCCTCCTGTTTACCTGAAAATTGTACAAGCTGGCTCTCTCGATATCTCAGCTGTTAGAAGAAATTCTGTGCAATAATTCACTAAAAAAAATCCAATAAAAATATTTGGAATTTGGTATACCGGAAAGTTTGGGAAATCTTTCGATTGTTGTTATATGGTAATTAACGTATATTAATAGGGGTCTGTGCAAAAGTTTCGACCGGGTTTCGTTCTAACTTCCGATTCGAACCTAAAATTTTTGTATCACTTTCTTTGCTAAACCTTTATCCTTCCCAGTTACATCTGGGATGGTCATCTTTTCGGTACACCCTGTATATGGTACACGAATAAACCTACTGAACATTACCTGACACTCGTAGGAGAGTGCACATCTCGAACGCGACGCTGAGCTTCTTGAACGGTGAGTTCGAGGTCGAGCCAGCCCACGGCGAGGACAGAGAGGAGGCGTTACAGAAGGCGGGGATCGTGACGTACTTCATCGTACGAGCATTGAAACCGTTCAAGCCGGCTGTGACGAAGAGCCTGGCGTCGTTGACGGACGCGGAGACCACGAAGCGAACGATGGAGAACGTGAGGGACGGCAGGAACAACAAGGAGGACTCGGAGGAGTTCCGGCAGAGGCTCAGGGAGGAGCTCGACAGCAAAGGTAACACACGATCATTTCCAACGCGTGCTTATAGGGAGGGAAGGTGTACCCCTGTGTAGTACGGGTATAACATCATTTTTCAAGAAAATTTAGTTAAGGCTACCGCAAAGGTCAATTTTACGGTGACTTTCTTTTCCAGATCTCCATCGATCCAGAGGTATAGAATAACGCTAGGGTAGCCGTGACATATAATTTTAAAACACCCTGTACATACACGCGGTGGTATCTCCATAGAATTGCAAAAATTTCAAATTGATCAATTCCCGCGCAGGTGGCGTAGCGGACCTGAAGGGCCACGCGCATTGGCTGACTTTGAGGTTCAAGGACACGAACGTCGAGTCTGCGTTCCATCACGCCGAGGAGGCATTCTCGCCCCTGTCGCTTATCGGCGGCCCATTGGCGATGATCTGCGCAGCCCCGGTTTGGAGGTTCCAGCCGTGGGGTCCTTTCACATGGGGTGGCCTCGGTGTGGTCGTGCTATTCGGTGTGGTACTGGCGGGCGCCACCTGTTTGGGCAGCGCCGTCAAGGCTATGTGGCTGAGAAAGGCCCTCGCCTTGCTGATGACCTTCTCCCTCGGGGTGTTCTTGCTCCTGGACATGGTACATGCGATTATTCGCTTACTCTCGAAATTTCAAAGTCCAACGAAAGGATGTATCTAGTTCTGTTTCTACACGAATTGTTTGTATACCCATGTTTCGGAAGAAAGCGTGTAAAAACCAAGGACTCAATACCGGTATAATTTTCATACCGGTATTATAGCCATGTATGATGATTTGTTTTACAGAGCAATTGCGTGGTGATCGCGGAACCGATACCAATCCTGAACGCCTCGGTGACACCGTCCCCGAGGTGTCCTTATCCATCTTACTACTCGTACATCGGTGTCCTGACGCTGGTGGCGATCTCGATGCCGACATACATCTGTTACCTCGGCAAGGCGACCCTGATGTACGGGATCGCCGGTTTCCAGTGTTTCATCAACATCTGGCTGCTTGGCTCCAGATTGGACTGGGAGGATCACGCATCCTCGCCCCTCGATCCGGCCGCGTTCCCGTCGAAATACTCCCTGTCCGCAACCCTACTCATCGTGGCCACATCGTTGGTCATCGTGACCAGATACGTGAGTAATCGAATCGTATGAATATTTAAAGAAAATAATTTCTAATCGATTATGGAACCCCGTGGACCGATTATGATTGAAAATATTCGGGATCCTTGAGAAGCCTACAGTCCTCCAGCAAATGTATAAAGTCCTGATCCATCGTTGAAGAAATAAAAAATTGGGTCGTAACAGAGTTTCGAAGACCCGTGTAGCAGGGTTTAAAAAGTGGATCGATATATACTACCCAGAAGTGGATGTTCCGGTTTTCTTTAATAATCCAGAGTAAAAGATTCTCGGCGAAGCAAGTAATTGGGGGGATTTCGCAGAATTTATTCCTGTTCCTCGATTATTCCGAATACCTCGTAGTAATTCTTTGTTACGAGCATTGATATTCCAGGTGCACAGAAGAACGTTTAACAATTCGAGGATGAGAAATAATGTTTATGTAAAAATACATTCTATTACATAGGAAAATGAATAAACGATCCTTTCACATCGGGTAGAGCCATCCGACAAATTCGTCGGGAGTCGAGGACGTCCTCGTTCCCTCGGGGTCGAGTGTCCGTACTTCGTGTCTCTGAAACGCTTTTACCCGCCTGTCGTACGTCAACATTTTATTTGTCGAGCGCTGCGAACGGACGAGATCGCAATCGGCACTTCTGTGAATTAAATCGTGGCGGCGTCAATAATGGGCGATACAGTACATCGATATTTCGAATATTGATACTCTTCAATTCGAATATCGTTATTATAAATCGTGGCCTATGTCGGTAATTTTCATCTCGAACAATGTTGTTCGTTAGAGATCGAAGGATGCTCCGGTGTAATTGAACGACGCCGATTACGATACCTCGATGACGCGTTAAAGGTTAAAAACGTGTGGTAGGGGAAGGGAACGCGTCGAACGTGTGCGAAATGACTCGATCGATTTCCAGACGGAGAAGGCGAGGAGGATGCTGTATCTCCGTGGTCGCGAGGTGGTCGCCCAACGTGAAAGAGCGGCGGACATGAAGCGTAGAAATGGTGCTCTGATCTACAACATCCTGCCGCCCCACGTGGCCGCTTATTTTCTCACCAGAGCGAGACATTACGACGACCTCTACAGCCAGAGCTACGCGGAGGTCGGGGTGTTGTTCGCCAGTATGCCGAACTTCGCTGACTTTTACAGCGAGGAGAGCATCAACAATCAGGGCCTCGAGTGTCTGAGGTTTCTGAACGAGGTCATCTCCGATTTCGACGCGGTGAGAACCTTCAATCCTTTCCTCGTATGTACATCCACCCGTATTCCATTGATTCGAAGCTTTTCTGGCACTTACTGGATCGAATGAGACAGTCATTTGGTGAAAGTATCGTTCGTAGACCCAATTCCAGATCAGTTCAGTAAATAGATACCATATAATACGTTCATTATAATAATTTTAAAATTTATTTGAAATTTACTCCCTTTACAATTTTTATTGTAAAAGTGTCATTATAATTCAATTGTATTATTATTTCTGCACTTTTGTTGATACCAAGTTAAAGATAGAACATCGATTTATCAGAATAGTAATAATTCCGTATTCCTCACGTTCACTTCGGGTTTCCGTAGATCCTCGATCAGAACAAGTTCCGGGACATCATCAAGATAAAGACGATAGGCTCCACTTACATGGCCGCTTCCGGTATAACGGACTCCGAGGAGACCGAGGACGCGCCCAGATGGGGTCACCTCTCCACTCTGGTCGAGTTCGCGTTGGAGCTGAAGAAGGCGTTGTCCAGTTTGAACGAGCAGAGCTTCAATCACTTCGTCTTGAAAATGGGCATCAACCACGGCCCGGTCACCGCCGGCGTGATAGGCGCGAGGAAACCCCATTACGATATCTGGGGCAACACCGTGAACGTCGCGTCCAGGATGGAGAGCACCGGAAAAGTCGGCTGTATTCAGGTAAATACCAGGTTTCGTGGCCTACCCGGTATACACAAATATAAATTTTCACGGATTTCGCTTAACTTTGTTTCACACAGCGCGAATTTGAATTTTCCTTTCGGCTATCATCACCACCCAGCGGAGAATTTCAAATGTTCTAAGTATTATTTAAAGAACATGCACATGTACCTTCAATCGATAGCAAGTGGCGCATTGTTCCCCATAACGGTGAACGAAAAAAAACATATAACTTTCGGTTGGTCGTTAAAACTGATATCTGGTTTTTAAAATTGTTATCTCCTATCACTTTCATAGTCAGCGGCACGCGATTCATTATCGAATTTCAGTTGATCTTACAGTAAATCCTCGATGAGTGTTCGAAGGCTCCTCGGCACTGAATATCAAATATTTCATACACTAATTGGATAACAAGAAAGTCGTCCCGATGGTAATCGTTTCGATCTCATAGGTGACAGACGAGACTCGTAGAATTCTGGAGCCATTCGGTTTCGGTTTCGAGCAACGCGGCCTCGTATTCGTGAAGGGCAAAGGTCAGTTGTTGACTCATTATCTGGTGTCGAAGGACGGTGTCTCCCTGAACCTGGACAGCGATCTGCCGGTCGAACCAACTCACCCGATCATCTACCAGTAGGCTACTCGCTCGAAGGCTCTAAAGGAACATAATAATAATAAAAAAAACAAACAAGAAACACACACACACGAGAACGTCAACGCGCGAAACACGAGGACTCGTTCACGAACGCCGCACGTACGAGATGTTCGCGCCTGCGTGTGGACGATGGAACGTGGTTTTCGAGACGACGTCGACGGGCTGGTGAAACTTCGTCTTTGAACGAGGAAACGACGGGGGCAAGGTCTGGAGATTGAGAGGATACGAAGAAAAAAGAGGTATGACGAACGGTGACTGAAGGCGTCAGTTCACATACCGGATCGAAAGAGACAGAGAAGAGCTTTCGGATGGGAAAAGATCGAAGGAAAGATGGCGGACAGGCCGTCCCGCGTAGAAGCTGTGGATCGGTTTTCATTAACTTCAACGGAGCAGAATGATGGTTTCTTTCGTTTAAGCTTCAAGTTCCTTTCGATTTTGATAATTGGTTCGGTATCGTATTATTTAGCGAATTAGGTTCGATTCACTTCGGGATCTATAGTACGTGTGTCGTATAAGTTTCACGATCGCCAGTTCAAAACAGGGGAAGCGTGAAGGGTACCAGCCGAGGAGATAATTCTTTACTGCTGGCTAGTAGATCGCGGGGGGATCACGATGATTGAATTGTTCACGGTGGAACGACGAACAGGGTACAAATCGAAGATTTAAGTAGGCTTAGGTATCGATCGAACAGAGGTTTTCGATTCAAGGGGGGGGGGCTGTATGTACGCGAACGAAGACGAATGTTCGAGCGTTGAACTAATATAATTTGTTTATTTCTCGACGACGCCCAGGGGGGAGGGTGTCGTGAGTTTGTCTTAACTAGGATTAGGTCTTTCGAAAAGTGTCCTATTTTACATAGCCGAGAATAAAAGTGATCGTTCACGATGGACTTCTCGAGGGGGATGAGATCCTGTTAAAATGTACGGCGAAAATTGTGCGCCGAGATCACTTGGGAGAATTCAATCGATCGCCATCGAATAATTCCGAGACTAGAACGTGTCGGGTCACATTACGTGCGAAAGACATTAATAATAGTCGATTACACGGATCATTCTCTCTAGAATCGATAAATGATTAAGAAAGTATGTCCTAGATCGTAAATCGTTGTGGTAGACCACCGCCGATATCGTCATTCTATTTTTCTAGATCCGACGACCACGTTCGATATATGTATACTATATATTAACCCTTTTAATACCTCGAGTCGACTTATTGGCCTCTCGGGAGATAATCGTATACAGTGGACTCTAACTATATTGCCATGGTCACGGTTGTAGGGGAGTAAAATGGCAATAAGTTCAGAGCCCCCTCCATGCTAAATTCTATCGTCATAGCCTCGGCGCCTGTGAAAAAGTTGGTTGAAGAGCAAATTTGTGTGCTCGAAAGTTAATATGAAGAGGAAGTTGCCCGCGTGGCAATATGTTTAGGGGCAATATAGCTAGAGTCGACTGTACGTTACACTACATATACACATATACGAATATACATTTGAAATTGTTGGTGTATACACCAAATGGTTTTTCCTCGCTTTTCTACGGAATTGCCCGGATCGTTGGTAACTCTCGGCACCGGGTCATTAAGAGGGTTGATCAAGGCGGTCGATTTAGCAGGTGTGTAGGGGCTTTATTTTCCTTCACGTGGCTCGCGGAGAATTGCAATCTCTCTCTCTCTCTTTCTCTCTCGATATTTTTTCTCGATATCGTTAGATTACCGTCGAGTGTGTGCTTTCCTACGATCTCAATCAAGACACACCTATAAACGGGGGTGAATAGGCGGAGTAGGTAAATAATACACGAAAAATACGGTCTCGCTCCGAGACGAGGCTCTGCGATGGCGAAATGTGGATATGGCTCCTGAAAGCAACCTAAACCAATAAAGGGTTCGAGTCTCGGAGGACACATTCTCTCCCTCTTTCTCTCGAGGGTGGTGTTTAACCTAAATTTCATTTTTCCAACGGTTTCACGATACAATTATCGTTAATAATCGAATTGTAATCGAATTGTTATAATCGAATTGTTCGGATTTACAGAACGTGCGATCGACCGATCGATCGTGTCGCGAGGTAAATCGTCCCTAGTTGAAAACGGTGCGTGCAATTGAAAGAAAATCCTCGTTTAAAAGTTAGTCGGTTCCACGATGTAATTATTGTAATAACGTGTCGAGCCGTGCACGGAACGATTATCGGTGACACGTGAATTTACAGTTCGGTGTAATAGAGGTGTGCTTACGTATACCTATCGTCGGAAAGCGTGTGTTCACATACGTTTTTCGAGCGTCGAACATGAAAGTAACGAATAGAGGATCGTCGTGCGTGTTTGGTGAATCTTGTAGAAACTCGATTAGAGACTATACGTATATAGAATACGTGTGACACTTTTGTGTGGCGTTTTTTTCGTGTGGAGGTAGATCCGAAACGATACGGCAGTCCACGGGATGGAGGGAAACGTCGAAACACCACGTGGATGTGCGCTACCGGCTGAAAGTATGGGACCAGGTCTGATAATTAAAGAAAGAGGAAAATGTATGATTCTACAAAGATTTCGTAACAGTGACGTGCTGAAACTACTTGAAAATTATTTGTATATGTACTGATTCCGTGATTTTTACTATATCGTCAACAGAATAATATACAGAATAGTTACTGTTCCATCGATCATTAGCCCTGGTCCCATACTTTAACCAGTGGCGTATACAATAAATTGTCGATGATTCTTCGAAGGCTCCTCAGCACTGATAAGGAGAGATCCTCAGGTGTAACTTTTTAACGAGGTTTAGCACAAATCTTTGCATTCTCAAGCCAATAATATTTGTTTCAGTCGCGTACGACGATTAGTTTATGAAATATTTAATGTTCAGTGCCGAGTGGAACCTTCGAGCACTCATCGACGATTTACTGTATAAGGGCTCCATGTTGATTTTCGGTGCTGTTTTTCTTTTCTCCCCTAATGTCTGTCCGTTGGGAAAATGCGTGAAAGTCGGGGATGTTTCAACGTAAGCGAGCGTCGAGACTGGAAAAGGGAACGGTTACGAATGAAAGACATTTAGGTATGTGTATGTGTGTGACTGTGGAACGCCGTTGAAAGTATATGCACAATGTCAAGATTTTCGGCTCGACTGTCAACTGTTCTACGGTCTTGTTGTCGAAACAAAGTGCTTCTGTTATTTGCAGAACCCAGAAATACGACTATACAGACTTCTCTCGATTATCGTCTGCTTGGTCTACACGATTATTGTCTAGTCGTTATCCCCACTACTGGAGGGGGTCGTGGAACCTCTCAAGCGCATACTTTGTTGCCCCTCTACCTTTGTTGTCGAGGCTCGAGCTTCAGGAAAAAGACGAATTTACGAGGGTCTGAAGCATTTCTCCCTATATGATTATTGTCCCGGCGCGGAACCGAGTTTGGGACGATAATTGAGAGGAATCTGTATCACGGTTGCGTGCAAGATTGTACTACGCTACCTTCAGAGGCCACGGTCTCGATAGAATTTAGTTCAGCTGTTTTTTTTCCGCGAGCATAGTCGTCGATTCGTATTGGAAATCGTCCGAGGAGGAGGTGCAGAGGTGTTTCTTAGGCTTAGGAGCTTAGATCCGATTTACTTGTCGAACGTAGAAGATCTCGTCGAGTTACCCACGCGTTACTCTCGCCGTTAAACGATTTCTGGGATCGAAATAAAAGAATCGACCGGTATATTCGAATATTTCTGAATTGATTTTCGTAGCAGTCTCGAATAGTCCAATAATGGATTTTCTCGGGTTCAAAGTGAAATGAATTGTTTGTCGAACATTTTTTAAATTATTCGAGTCTTTAGTTTATTCTTTAAATCGTAGGATTTACATCGATATTCTGCAAACTGTACCAAGATTCACAGTCTAGACAATTACTAATTGGGAAATACAGTGACTCACACATTCGTTCGCAGATTTCTGAAATAACAATTAGATGTCGAAACCTTTATGCAATTTCTATTTATATGTATATTTTCATTATCATTACTTTTTCTATCCTTTTACGATTTATTTTGACGGTCAGGAATCGTTCAGTGGTGTACTGTCCGTGGCGGGCGTCTCGCGTCGAGTCGTCCCGAACAACGCTCGTATTCCGATCGCGGTTTCAGCGAGGCTGAAATATAATAATTTATTTTTCTACGGTTTTTTCGTCACAGAGAGTTAATCGTAGACGAAACGACGATTACTCGAGTACGCACAACGCACACGATCATAATAAAAATAAAATAAAAAAAAACCGGGCAGGATTCGATTCTTTCCACGGAGACTGTATAGATACCAGACGATATACGGCCGTCAGTTGTTCCAAGCTGTCGGTCGATCGTACAAACAAAAGTTAAGTACAAACACACACTATCGAAGTAGAAGCCATCCGTTCCTCCTCTGTTCTGTTCTTTTTTCTTTTTCGTTTCTTCTTTCTCTGTTCTGGGGCACGAAAGTGATCAAGGGTTCGAAGGGAGGAGATAAGACTAGGGTCGTTAAAAAACAAAATGGAAAACGAGAAAGCACGGCCTAAGCGCGACGAATGGTGGTTGTCAGACTGGATCGTAGCGACGATTGAAGGTGTTAGGGGCAGGGAGGGGGGTCGAAAACGAGCTCCCTCGAAGGAAAGTTCCCATCCATCACTAGACTGCGGATTTTATACAATTATAGCCTTTAGGGCTCTGTGAAATACAATAAAATACAAAACTTCCATTGGATGCAACGAGTTTTCTACTTTCATTCTCAATCCATTAAGACACTTAGGAGGCAAAAGAATTTCCTATATCTCGAAACCAGAGCTGAAGTGTATAAAATCACACTTTTCAAATTTTAGGGGGAGCAAATCACAGGTACAAGAACATCTTGAAATTCTCGAATCATTCTGTAAGAATTCAACGAGGAACAATCACCAGTCACAAGTCTCGATTTGTAGAAATAGTGAGCATTGAGTCTCCTGTGTGATGGAATTTAGACTGCTTCGCTCAGGGCAATATATGACTATTATATTATAAACTACACGATTTAAAACGAAGCAATCTTTACCATAGGAAAGAATGAAAAATTGGATACGGGAAACAAGTAGAATATCAGTTTTTTTAAAAAAAGTGGACTTAATACATTCTGGCTCTGTGGACCAGATATTTGCTCTTATATTTATAAATTATTTTAAAAAATCTCATTTTCCATAAAGATCCGCAGTCTTTCCATCACTCTTTTTTTCCCTCGCAACGCGTTTGTTCGATCTGACGAACAATAAAGGACCACGACATACTAGTCACTTCTGACTGTAGGCACAATAGACAATCTAGACACGTGTGTATTGACCTAATCGCAACCAGACGGTAGAATACAAATATTCCGTATCAGCTGTGCGTGTGTCCAAGCGTCGTGGACAGTTTGTAGTAAATTTAACGAAGGAGAAGTAGATTGCGAAAAAATGACAGTCAAAATTTATCGCAAAAGGTTGCGAGCCGATGATGATTGTCGTTTTTCTTTTTCACGCGAAAATCGTTCAGCAAATGGAGAATTCGCCTTTCCTTCGTCGGGGTCTCGTGTGATCGCGGAAGGGAGGGAAAAATGGTGGCGATTTGTCACATGTCGCTCGATTTCGATCTTCTTCTTCTTATTCTTCGCCTTCTTCCGGTGATCGCGTATCGTCATGGACCCAGTGCCGGATCAGAACCCAATTCCTGATCAGTTTAGCATAAATTTAGATACTATATAAGTTTCTTCCGAAAAATTGCTAAATAATTATTAAGCATTCCGAAATTTATACGTACAATTCGATTTAGTTTTTGGATCGTATAAATGATTTAGGACTTTAGGTGATTAGAAATTGCTCCCCTTGCACTTACGTTTAAAAGTTAAATTATAATTAAATCATTACTATTTCTACACTTTTTTTAATACCTGATAAATGATAAAACATCGATTTATTCGGATAACAACGATTCTTTTTGATCTGTTTGATATTTCTACATACATACGTTACAAAAAACGGCGATAGTTACTCTTAAGTGATCAGGAACTGAGTTCATAACGATAATTTCTGGCGATCGACGACGCGTCTCCGTCGTATAGGCCCTGGAACCTCTACAGGGTGTTAATAAAAAAAGGGGGGAACACTTTCACAAGCTGGAAATTGTTATTTGAAATAATATTTCAAATAATGTTATTTCAGAAGTGTCCAGGTCTGGATGTGTCACCTAGTTTCAGGCTCGAATTTACGTGTCCTCGGTGTGCTCGGTTCCAAGGACTTATAAGTACTACTCGCAACCACGGAAGAACGAACGGAAGTCGGGAAGGAGAGGGGTGGTGGGGGTGCTGGAACAATGGCGTCAGACCAGATCATGTAAAGTAGCAATAAAAAAAATGGAGAACTTCGTGTATATAGTATATATTGAATATAATAAGGGAAGAATAAGCGACGGTTCGAAGACGGACAGGAATTGAGATGTCACAATGGACGTCATCGGTGTCAGGAGCGAGGGAGGGGAACGCGCACGACCCGACCGAATGTGTGTATGCAAGTGTACGTACGTGTGCGTCTGGATGCGTGTGTATAGTCGTGTAAGGAGAATTATATCATTGTAGATATCCTATGAGTGGAATCACGCGACTGTAAAATAAACGGCTTCTTTGCCGATGTAAACGACCCTGAATTTTATTAACCTCCCCTCTCGTGACAGAACAGAGCGTTCCATTTAATGAAAAAGAATAAAAGAAAAAGTACAATGAGGAACCTTCAACTTTTATTTTCTGTCGTTCGAGTCGATGATATGGTTGTTGGTGGTGTTGAGGTTCGATGGAACGCTCTCTGTGTTCAATGTTCAACCCTTTCCTCGCTAAGGGTGACTATAGTGTCACTTTTTGGTGTCATAAAGGTAAATATTGTCACCCGTCGTCAAAAGTGTCCCATTAAGTTCAAAAATTTACGTGAATATTATTAATTGTACAATTCCATTTTACAGAAAGCGTTCAGGTAAATGAAATATGAAATATTGGTTTCGCTGGTATTATCTAACAGTGAATGTCCTGCATTATTCACTTGCACTCCGTGAATCGAACGAAACAAGTAACTGAAATTGCTAGTTTGAAGGCTTGTCGAGTATTTATACACGTAACCTAATTGTTCGAGGCTGAATTATTCCATTGCCGGTGAAATTGGATCGAAGAAACCGCGAAGGTATGATATTTATTACAAATGAAATTAAAAATTGCAGAATTCTTTCCGGGGAATTCGGAACCGTTTCGTAATTCGTGGTTTATATTTCGGTTTAAGTAGAATGAGGATCGTGGCGGTTTATGGTCAGACAGGCTGTCGCTGAGCCCAAGAACTTTGCTGATCTCCTATCAGTGATTTATACGGGAATAAAATCGTACTTGAGTCACGTCACTACGGATACACTCTCAAGGTAAAAAAATGAAGACTTGTCTTTGTTTCTCCTCCATGTATATTCTTTTGATGTTTTACATTTAAAAAAAACAGAGATGCTTAACGAGTCCTTCAGGAGTACTTTAGATATCGTTCTTTGCTTAAACAACGTGTATAGCGCAACATTAGAGAAACGAGGGTGCGTTATTGTAATGTCCCTCCGTGTACAGGGTGTTTCGCAAAATGTGATTATAATTTCGAGATCTTTTACAAAATAAGTGTAGTACGTATGTACACTAAATCTTCGATTATCGCTGGAAACTCCAGACCGTTTTTTGGAGCAGTTATCGCATAGGGACACGATTTCTGCATTTCATAAACATGCATTTCGAGGTCTAGCTTCCTGTGTGGAACCCTCCAGTAGTGGGGACGAAGCAGGAGTATACATATATGTATAGAGATTCCTCCGAGCAGATATCGAGGATTTACTGCATACATTTCACGATTATCCTGTGCAAAGTACATACGCCTAAGAAAAATTCCCCCCTCAATTTTTGTACTCAAGTAACCGACAATTAATATACCTCGTGCACCGAAAATTCACCGGAAATTGAAGTTCGACTTTTGATTATGCCATTAATTACAAAAGATTTATTTTAAATAGCCACAGGTGAACATACACATTCTCTCGATTCGACTTCAACGTCGATTTAAATTCAATTTAAACGTTTGTTCAGTCGAATCTCGCACACATTCATCACCTGGAAACCAGGAAGATTTCAGCCACGGCGAAATCCTTCAGGGGTCTTGGAGGATTTCCGGTCGACGTGTTACCATTTAAAATTACAATCTAAATTGTGGTAGCGATTGTCATCGAGAATAGAATATCGTGTAAAGCACTTGAAGATTCACGGATATTTTCCTAATTACAATACGAAATTTTTGCACGATTTTTCCGACTGGACTACTCATCTCGCGAATTTCTCTTCAGGATTCTCTGCTCCATTGCCCTCTCCGAAATATTGTGAGTTGAGCAAAAAAACAGTGTCCGTATACTTCAAACCTTCGATTACTATGGAAGAATTAGAAGAAGTCAGGATAACGAGTAGAAAATATTCAATCGCGAACATTTGAATATTGTAGGATCAGCGTTTAACCCAACATTCATTCCAGATCAAACTGCCTCGAACTTTGTCCACGTACACTGACGGTCATTAATGAACTTTCATTCGGTATACTCAATTGTCATCATTGAAAACGTTCTCGAACATCTTCGACTGTCCTCCGACTTCCTGTCACGCTTTCTCAAACGCCCACAAACATCTTCGAACTCTATACAAACGTGTCCTTAAACTTCCTACAAACGGGCTTCTTCGAACTTCCTCAAACATCTTCAAACATCTTCAAACGTCTTTGAAACTTCATCGAACTATCTCTAAACGAGCTCGAACATCTAACAAACGTCGTGTCGAGCCTCTCCTGGTCACTGAAGCTACTCCCACCGATCGATCGTCGATCGTGGACCGAGTCAATCGTCGAGTGAACCGCCGGCGCCCGGTCGATCGAACTCCTGCGAGGGCGGGGACTGCCGATCGGGCACCAGCAGCCATCCTCACGTCCTCACGAACTTGTACACGACACCGAACACCAGCACGCTGACCAGCACCAGCACCAGCGCAGTCACCACTTTCGCGAACGCGTTCAAACCGCTTTCGGTGTGCTGCTGCGGCCTTCTGGTAGGCACGCTCTGCTTCGAGGCGAGACCGCGGGCCAGCGCGGGAAACGCCAAGCTCTGGGTGAACGTCAGCTTATGCAGGGACTCAGAAAGTGAATACGGACCCACCGAGCCACGGGCTGCCGCCCTCAGCAACGCGTACTCCAGGTCCAGGGCGTCGAACATGCTGTACCTGTTGGTTTGAAGAGAGACACTCCTTTCAGTTTCGGTGTAACAATGAAATTCACGAAACCGTTTCGTTGTTCTCAAAAATTTCCCCCCTCAGATCCCTTTCGATGAGACATCGCGCTCCACGCGTTCGTGTCAGCGAAAAAGTCCTCGAATCAAAATGAAACCGGGATTGTACGCTATTGCCGGATCGATTCGTCGTGCCTCTGGGTTGGGTTAAAGGTTCCACCCTTGAAACTTCCGAACGCGACCTGGAAAAAAGCAATTGGGGGAGGGGTATGACAGGGCGACGATTTTTCGTCTTTTGTGGCATGAAACAGCGAGGCTTGAATTATTCGGGCACGATTAATATCACCGAAGGGGTGGGTAGGGGCGTAATGTAAGGTAGTGGTAGAGCACTGCATGGATCTCCTCGGGGTGGTTGGCTGCTCGTGGTATTTGCATGGTGCCAGGGTCGCGCCTTGACACGAGCCAAGAACGACGTCCGTCGGTACACATCATTCTGACGGATTATACTCCCTCCGTGACGTAATTTTACAGATCGAGAGTCCAAGAGAAACGAGAACGGACACATTGAATTCTATCCATCGCAAAAAGCCTTCGATTATCGATCGATAAAACCGAATGATGCACGTTCACTCGTTCGTCGAATCCTTGACACGGTGTTATTTTCACTCCGGGACAGATTTCGTTATTATTCATTGTCTTTCGCGGATACTTATAAATAAAAGGAACATTGATCAAGCGTTGGCCAACTGTAATTCGTCGGAGGGAATATACCGTTCGATCGATGACAAGGGAGAACACTAACCCGGGTAGTCCATGATCAATGCCAAGGGTGTAACCGGGAAGGTGTGCATAAGCTACTTTGATATTGATTACCCAATCAAGTCAGTGGAAACTCTGAACTCGGCGAAGAATGAACTTTCGTTTCGCACGGTACAAGTGTGGGTGTGCGCAGATAAAAGGCTGAACTTGAAGGTATAATATCGCGGGTCTCGCTACATTAAGGTCACTGGCGATAACTCCAGTTTCTTTTTTTGTAAATTATCTGTTCTCGTGTCGTGGGGACAGCGATAGAATCAGCGAAATAATTCTGTTTAAATCATGTCCGAGTAAGATCTGCCTGGTATGGTTTGCGGAAGTCACTAGATTTACGAGCAAGGTACTTTCTTGCTTTCCAACTAGAACACAACCATTATTCAGTCTCTTAAAATTTTGTATCGGGAATTATTGAAATTCATGCCAAATTAACATTCGATTTAATATTTATTTCAGTACTTGAAATAAATTTACCAATTGGTAGGAGGTCTTTCCCTTACGTCACTTTTTCCCCTAGTGGAAGCCAACTTTGCAAGTATGTACGGGTGTACATTGAGGCTCTGTCGTTCGCGTACCTGCTGCTACGTCGTCGGTCCTGCGAGTGCATCGAGGTGATCGCTGAGCTCGGCATCGAACGTAGGCTGCTGGTGGTTGAACTCGAAGGGCTCGGCGGCAGCGGGGGCGGTTCCTCGTCGATCGAGGCCCGGTCCGGTGTCGGCGGGCTCTTAGACCCGGAATTATTGTGGTGATTGTGATGCAAATGATGCAGCTGCAGCCGAGCGTGGTCCGGATGGAGGAGACTGGCGCGACGGGATTGCTGTGGCGTCGCGGCGGGACTAGTGCTCGACACGCCGCACGGCGACGGCGACGCCTTCGAAGAACAAACCGAAAAATTATTGTCAGCTGACAGGTGAACCGAGGGATATTTGGAAAATTATCTTCCGGTGGTAGAGATAGGGTTTTCAAGTATGAAACAATGTTCAAAAAAATTATTCTGGGGCGATTAAACATTACAGTAGCGGGCAAAAAAGTTACTACGGATTGATCTTGATTCAATTATGTAGTCCCATTTAAAAAAGGATCGATAACCTTGAAATTTCGAAAATGATGGCCTTGAGAAAAATGTTCCCTTATTATAGTATTTTCTCCATCTATCAAAATAATAATGTACCCTCATATCTTTCTGTATCTTAAAAAACCAGTGAGATATTGTAGGTGCTCACGTTAGGTGGGACACTCTATCATCGACGAAACGCGATATTCAAAATCTTTGCTCTAAATCTCTGCGTTAAATCAGAGCTCGTTTCCATTAGTTCGTAATGTTGTATCGTGATCAGAGAACCGTCATTGTTATCGTTGTCGATGAGATCGATCGAAGTGGAATTGTCACCTGGATGGATTCGATGCCGCTGTCGTTGACGCTCTCGTGAACGTCCGGGAATACGAACGCCTGTGCCTGTCCATCCGCCTCGCCTCTCGGCGAATCGCTCGGCCATACTTGCAGAAGAGGAAGTCCGCTGCGTGTCTCCGGCAAGACTTCCGCCGCGACGACGTTGCTCTGCTCACCCGTACCGAGGCACAATCGGCCCAGCTCTCTCAGTGGCTTCTGTCAAACAAATCCCACCCCCGCCGAATTTCAATTATCTCCTGTAAACCATTTCCACCCAGCAGATATTTCAATATCCGTACAAAATTACTCGCGGTGGCCTCTTTGTCAAACAAATCCCCTGAATTTCGATTGCCTCGGTAACAGTATATTTTAATTGTTCGTACAAAATTGCTCTGAGTGGGGTCTGTCAAACGATGCCCCGAGTTTCAATTACCGCGGTAATCATTTCACCGATAGTTTTAAGATACTACAGAATTACTCTCGGCGACATCTATGAAAAAGGATATTCCGATTTCAACAGTTTCGCTGAAATACTAGCAGAAATATTAACAATTTTTAATATCCGATAAAGTAGCCTTCTCGGTGGAGGTCTGCAATATTTGGGACTTCGAGAAAATATTAAGCACGAGGATACAAATGTACCGTATACATCTTCACCCTTGTCATTCATTTCAATTCTTTCGGGTGTAAGCCGTGTCCTTGTGGAATTCTTTTCCCAACGTTTCGCGAGCATTGCAGCTTCGAATTCGTTCGAGCAACAGTTTTCATAGCGGTCGATATCACCATGACCACAGCATCTCGACTTCCTAAATAACGAAATGCACATGTGGTCTGGAACTGACATAACCATGTTCCCGATCCAGATAATAGCATCTCCCTGTCGTGGTCCTCGCTATGCTGGCTTCCATTTACGTCAAACCTGTCACTCTGTCGAATTGATTCGCTCGATGGAAACGTGTCCACGGGAATCTCATCCGTCAGACGAGAGAAAATTTCGTTTGTGTTTACGAACCGAACTGTCTGCAACCACATTTACACGACGGTAACCCCCCGCGCATTTAAGTCGGTATTACGTGTTGCGTCGTTTAACGCCAGAGGGACATCGTGTCGATCGTGTACCATACAAAAAAATAAAACAATCGAGCAACACACTGTTCGACCATCGGAGTCGAGATTTCGCCAGAACGGAAGTTCCGATCGACAGAGCGAGAATCTGGAATGAGCTTATCGGGTTAGAAGCCGAGAGATGGCTTCCGGTAATTGTTCATCGTCTTCCGCTCGGACAACCGCGTGTAATCCACGTTTGGAGATTAGAAAGCTCTGTATTCGAGCTGTTTATTAATTTACTCGATGAACGATTAATCCGTTGACGCGTGTCGGTTAATAATAATTGCTCATTATATACATTAATCGCTCGTCGAATCGTAGTTGCACACGAAGATGCGTGAAAACTTAACCTTTCGAGTGTCGAGTGTTAGGAAGCTGGAACGTTGACGGTTGGCGGGCGACGCGATGATCACTATAGAAGAATTTCTTTCTCAGGTAAAGTCAAATACCTGCTGGAATCTTTTGTCGAATTTATTTAACTTTTCAATTTAGCGTTACGGGCGAACATACATACGTGGTTAATGATTCACTTCGCAATGTCGTTGGATGATAGATTTCTGAATAATTCACAAGTACAGGTTATTTTATAGTTTCCGTTTAAGTGAAAACATTAAAAAGCATTTGAACGTTAATACAGTCGCTTCCATTTGCCTGAAGAATGACTGAGTATAAATCTTGAGCCTTCCGCCGATACCAGGCGGAATAATTAATTTATTAAATATTTGAATCTGAGACGGACATTTAAGATTGGTTTATTATATATGTAAATAGAATTCAGTTCTGTACATAACAGATGTGACAGGGGAAAAAAACGTCACCGATGATATAAATAGCCATTGGGTATTACGGTAACAATTGGATCGGCCTTCCAATCGTCTGTGAAATAAATGAACTCTTTGTAGGAGGAACCAGGAAATTACCATAGAGTATTGTTTTCTGCCATTAAAACAAAATAACGAGCCGGAGGAACGTTTCCGACAGAGAGCGATCGTTATCGAACGAGATTATCGCGATACAATGTCTTCCTGTTATTAACGATCGACTTTCCTTTTACAAGGTCCAAGTAATTCTGTTTTCATAACAAATAGATTGTGCCTCTAGACGATCTTGGAAAACATGTTCCCTCGAATATCTCATCGAGACAGGTCTTCAAAATCACAATAAATTATTCACTCTGCTGGAATCTCTTTGTAAGCGTACACAATACGTCGAAATCGTATGGAAATTAACAAAATTATCGATAACAACCTCGATATAAATAATGCATAGGGATCATGTTATTAAAATGGAGTAAATTTCAATGGAATCGTATCGTAGTCGAGTGATTTAATTTAACGTTAGAAGCACCCCGAGATCGTTTTAAGTGCACTACCATTTCGCCCGAATATTTTGTCTTTTCTTATTATGTACCAGTTCACTATCCATCGGTTCTCGAGTTAGTCATAGTTCTTCGGAATGACCTCTCCTTTTTCAGGTTGATAGAAATTCTACTTCTTTCCGCCATTAGAGGGGATATTCATCACGGTCGATCCAGCTCAAGAATACCTCGAGGAATGTTTCAAATTTAGTAACGTCGAACTCATGATATTATTGGAGGGGGAGAGGAAACTCTCGAAAGATTCGAGTACAGCTTCAGTTTCGAGGATGAACACAGACCCCCTCGGGTGAATAAAATCACCCCACCCCACGGCGAACTTTCCATTCGAACAAAAGTTTGAGAAGTCTTCGACCTCGAGCAACCCCGTGTTCCTGTAATGTATTTCGAGATCGGATTTCCCATTAAGGCCTGTGTTCACGTCATGGCGACACGAGGAAGGTCGCTGGCGGAAGCGACGTGTCACGCGTCTCTTCTCTTCGCTCTTTGTGACGGCGATGACGTGGGATGGACGCACGAGGGCACGGGGGAGAAATTGTTGACCGGTAATATTTATCCTCACGGGCGTGATAATAAAAGTGCAAGGTTCGCTCATTCTTGACGTACGCGGAGAACTTGTTTTTGTTCCGATCCGTGGATGATCTAACGATCAGTTTTTCTCTGGGATGATTTGTCCGCTTACTTGGAACAGAGAAACACCACCCTTCTACGGTGAACATGGAAAAGTAATTGAATTTAATAGTTTTTTTTGGATACTAAACGAATAACGATGAAATTAAAAGGTTATTAGTTAGACTGCGAATTTTAATTTAATCTTTATTAATACAGATGATAAGGATAAATGGGGGTAAGTCCCCATGTGTGGACAAAAGTATCAATGCTGAAATAGTTACATGCATTTTTTTATTTCCTACCCCAGTAAAATACTTAAGGGAAGAATGAAATTTCTAGTTTTCTTTCTGTCCATAAAAATTACTTCGTAAAATGTTATTTTGCGATAAAAATCCGCAGTCTAATTATAGCTCGCACGGTTGTCTAGACAGGGGACGCGTTAAAAAGTTGCTCGATGTTTAATGAGTTTTTTTTTTCGTTTCTCTCATGTGGAGCTCGATAGAACCATTTTTCCCGTTCGATTCGTGGCTTCGGTGATAAATCACTGCACGTAGCAGCCTAGATTTGCATAAATTTCCACGGTTTAGTCGTCAATAACCGTCACTGTCGTAAATACATCATGCCTTCCTTTCTGGAATTCGTATCGGTCCAAGACACTCTGCGATTAACATATTAGACAGTCTCGATCGTTGTCCCAATTTGTTCACTTTATCATTGTAGCTGTTTGACGACACAGTAGGTAGAACGTCGATTATTTTAATTACACGAAGTTCGTTCATCGAAACGTTCTACGATCCGAACCACTTTTGTCACTCTGTTGATTCCGATAATCGAGGTTCTTGGTGTCTATGACTGAAGTTTATTACGATACCGATCCCCAAATACACGAAAGTTTGGTTTTCAGAGAAATCTCTACGCATTTCCAACCCCTTTTCGACGAACACAAAGCAGTGACACATCCATTCCCTAATGACTTGTATTAGATAGAAAACAATTGGTTGTTCCTCCTTTTTTTTGTGTTTTGTTTTCGACGTTGCCAGCGAAAAGTCGGCCCCGATATTTTGGACGGTGAGCAAACATTCGAGGGAAAAAAAGGTCGGGGAGTGGAACACAGAAACGAATCGATAGAGGACAAGGCAGGAAGTATCGCGAATAAACGTTTATTCGCAACAGTTCCCAGCCATTGTTTCGAAACATCCCCGTTTCCGCTGAAACAGACTCTCTCGCCTCTTTGGTTCTTGTGCGAGCATTGGAATAAATTAACGATCATTAGCGCAAATGAATCGGTAGCTTTATTAAGAGACGGTAATTCTGTTCCTGAACGAGAAATCACTTTGATTGGAGGCGACACTGCGGGGGCTCTCTATTATTCATCATTTTTATTTGGAGTTAGAAGAGCAGGATAACCGTTCTTCGGTGAAATTCGTTCGATCGATCGATCTTGCGATAGAATTTCAGATACAATTCGATTTTTTCTATACACAAAATATATCAAATGTTCGAATGTTCTTCTTGAAGTTTCTTTTCTTTTTAACACTTTCAGTTCGAGAAACGCTTTTCGAAAACGTCAGGATGGATGATATTTCGCGAACCTTGTCGTTACAGGCACGTACATCGACAGGGTTCTTTCATTTCTTTTTTGTCCAGGGATGTTTCCATCCATGGTATAATTATTCTGACCTCACGAGAAAGAAAAAAAACCGGTGGTCATACAGGCGGATGCAAACACGGATCGATACAGCATAACCAGCCAGGAAACTGCCTAATAAAGCCGTAAGGTTTTTTCAGAGGTCTCCCCCACCCCTGTATTCATACCGTATTCCATATCTCGAAAAATGGTCCATTCATCCGTGAGGGAACGTGCCGACGAATTTACAAAATGACCGTAGTGCAAGTTCGCAATTATTGTTACCACGTGTTTACAATTTGTCGAATACAGCAAAAAAATATTTCAAACGGTATTCTGAATAATACATATACTTAAAATTGTACGTATTTTACCCAATTCTGGAGAATATAACGAGACCACGGGGTCAGTTTGCCCCGAGAATTGAAAACAGAGGCTGGTAGACGATAAATTAATCTCGCGCAGTGCCATCGATAACGTATAAAAAAAAAGAAGGAAAAAAGCAAAGTCGAATTAAATCGCCGGGGGATTAATTAATCGGTGCCTGGCCAGGAAATATGAAAAAATGTGAGAGGCGTATAAAATGTGGCTGGTGAATAGTTTCTTTTTTCTTTTACCCCCAGCCTAATAGATTATAAATTTCCTGGGTGAAACTTCCCCTTCCACCCTCGGAAGCGGAAAGTTCCCAATGATTTTCGTCTTTTATTCTTTTCTTACTTACTTTTTCCCCATTTTTTTTCTGTTTCTCACGCGAAAAAAGAAATCTAATTCGTTAACTTTTCTTGGCGAAGTCGACGGGGGGTGGTGCGGTTTAATAACAGTTCGTCAGGTATATCAGGCCTCTTGCAACTTCACGCAAATCCAATATAACCGTGGAGAATCAATAAAAAAAAGACGAACTGAAAAAAGACCGAGAGGGGGAGTAGAATACTTTTTTTTTTTCGTCGATTTTCATCGACACTTGAGCGTCCCAGTTGGCTCGATGTCGTTGATTACTTTCGGCCGTAGTTTCGTGCACGATGAATTTCGACGCGATTCAATCTACGTATGCATATATTTTACAGACTGTCCGAAATATAATTCTATAGAAACTGAAGGCTGTGGTGTGCGTTCAATTCGATAGGTCGAGCACAGTAGTATCAAGTTTTGATGGTCAGACAGGCCAGAAGATTCTATTCGAACGCATG